CCCGCCTCAACCACCCACCAGCACCACCATCACTCCCACCTATCCACCACACCCTCCACCCCACCTCTCACACCTCATCCCCTATTAACATCCACCCCAGTACACCCTCGGCCGCGCCTTCTTCCAAGAAGCCTACCTCATCACCGACTGGACCTCTCGCACCTTCTCCCTCTCGCAGCGCACATGGAGCGACAACGCAACGCCGTCCATCGTCCCCATCCTTCCCAACACGAGCACCACTTCGTCGTCGTCATCGTCGTCATTGAGCGCCGGCGCCATCGCAGGCATAGTGCTAGGCGTCCTCGCGGCGGCAATGGCAGCGGCTGCGTGGTGGTGGCGGCGACGGCGGCGGCAGCGTGCCGGATTCGGTGGCGGCGGGGGAGGCGTTGCGGAGTTGGAGGGGGGTAGTGGGGCGGTGGAGCTGGGGGCGCCGGGGCGGACGGGGGAGGATGGCGATAAGAAGGTGCCGGTGCGGGAGGATGGGGTGGGGGTGCAGGAGTTGCCGGGGGAGATGCCACCGGCGGCGGCTGTGGTGCATGAGATGGATGCGGGGATGGTGGCGGAGATGCCGGGGACGCTGGGGACGCTGGAGAGGGATGCGGAGGGGAAGTAACGGTGGTGGGTGTCGTGGTTGTGGTAATCGTTCTTCTGCCTATGTGAGCTGTATGTCGTGTGAAGTGTTTAGTGAGGTTTGTGACTGTGCCGTTCCGGATCGCGTTCGTGCTGGTGTGGAGAGTTGTGCTTGGTCGACCACGAGACCTCGGACCTTCTGGACGACGAAGCTCTTAGCATGTATTTTGGTGAAGAGACTGTTGTTCGTGCTATATCTTGTTTTTCTGCTTTACCCTTTGGCGGAAAATCAGCCTTGTGGGCTCCGTATGCTCCGTTTCTGCCCTAATCGTTGGAAAAGTGCATATACACTTACATTAACAGGCCATACATCCATTCAGACCAAGTAGTTTGTTTTCATGGCCCGCAGGGTAGACAGGTGCAGGTGGGGGCGGGCAGAGTAGGAAAGTGCAGGTAGAAAATGCGGATGGGCATAGTGCGTTTCGTGCCTTAAATGACCCAATACGGTCATTCTCTGGGGCTACGACAAACGACTACATGGTAACAAACTAGAAAAAGAACAGCTTCCCTGCGTTCCCAGACTTTTCCTCAACACCCGACTCAACACCCGCCTCCCTCAACTTCTCCTTCAACCGATTCGCTACAGCTCTCGGATATTCTGGCGACGAGACCGCTGGGCCCTTTCCCTCGGCTACCAGCCGGCTGGTGATGGCGTTGTCCACTCTAAAGAACGGGACAGGAAGGGCACTCTCGGACCCGCAAGCGCCAACACATGCCTGGAAGAGCGTCTGGAAGGCTTCATCGCTGTAGCCGCCGCCGGTGACGACGGCGCGCGGGGCAAGCTGGAAATCGTTCGAGCCGACCTGGGTGTGGAGCGAGGCCGAGGGCGGCGGAGACCCGGATAGGATTTGAGGGACCTCCTTGGCGGATGCGGCGAGGTCGAAGCCAGCGTAAATGACTGGGCGGGAGAAATTGAAGAAAGTCAGACGAGACCGGTGGGTGCTTCTCGCAGGCAAATAAGGGCCGGGACTATGGAGGCGTACCGTTGAATTCGGGCAGCATGTTCGACCTCACCATGGTGGCCAATTGCTGCTTGGCGCCGCAAACGATGATGGGAACGGGGACAGACATGGCAGGATTGTCGCGGGGGCTGGGGGACGTTGTGATTCAAAATAAATATTCTGGAATATTATTTCTCGTCCTTCTTATATCATGTGTCTACTAGTGCTTATGCTTCGCATGCTCGGTAATCATCCGGATCATTCGGACGTGCCAAAAGCCGAACTACCGAGAGAAACATGACGTCATGCAGCCATATGAGCAGGACTGAGCTTCTCGTTTGCGTTATGAGCAAGTGGAGCTGAACAATTGATTCTAAGCGCACTAGATAGCGTCAGTCCTCCTGTGAGATCCTCCTAGAAGTCGGACTTGATTTTTAGATGCTTGGCTTTATCCGACCTGGGTCCGGAGGACGTCTGTCTGTTGATCCAGCAGTACATGAAGAACCTGAACATCGCCGCCTTCTGTATCCAGCGCGCTAAAGAACAGGATGGAGACCGGATCAATGAGCTCGCCCACCAAAAGATACATGCCGTTCACCATGCTCCTCGCCTCCAAGTACGCCTTCATATGTTCCGGCGGGTTCTTCGCCCATAGCTGACCCGGCTCGAGGTTCGTGTAGCCCAGCGCTCTGTCACTCGCGATGTACTCCGGCACCCGCTCACCCTCGCATGCGTCGATGAGAAGTTGAGCGTCGGGTTGTCGTCGCCTAGGTAGCAGCGCACGGCGGTGAACATGGGGTAGTGTTCTCAATCGGACGTCTTCCACTCAGTTAACCAAGACTAAAATATATACAAAGGCGCCGATGAAATCAAAATACGGGGAAATTACTAATACGGAAGACAAATGGAAGTTAAGATGAGCGTTATTTGACAAAGTCAAATGACAGTGATGCATTCTTTCCACAACCTCCAGTGGCTTTCAAGCGAGCTCGGGAGCTTCGATCAATTGAAGCAGCATCTTCGCGACTGCAGCTGCCGTTACAGCAGCATAAGCTTGCCACGTATCATTCTTGTGAGTGTCAGCGTAGTTGCTGATGCCTCGAATGACCAAGCATTGAAAGTCGTTCATGAGACCAGCCGCCTCCATTTCAAAACACAAACACTCTCCGACATCTTTCTGACGTAGTTGACTGACGACACTGTCTCTCACTTCCGCATTCTTGATGACTTTGTCTCCAGAAGCAATGAGGCCGTAGTGGATTTCCGGCGTCCATGATGAGTCTCGGTTTCCTCGTTCCACCGCTTTGTTTCGGTTGCAAAACTGACAATCTTTGAGCTCTTGCTGGGATGAATTGTCAGACCGTTGAAAAAGTCTAGATTTTGCGGCAGAGAAGCGCGACTTAGACAACTGGTGCTCGTATGAGGCTGGAAACAAGCAATCATTTTCCGGACCGGGACACGCGGGAGAGGGACCATCGTTGAATCTCGTGATCCCGGTACCCAACCTTTCCACTACCTGTCCGATGCTATGATCAAGATGAGATGGCACCATTCGTGCTTTGAAGACATTGAGCACAGTACGAAGCTCTCGTGGAGGAGGGCCCAGCGACCCCGTACGTTGGAAATAGCTGTTGCCATCTTTTGATTGCTCCTTGCCGAGATCGTATTGCACTACACCGGCGGCTGCGCCGGACGGGGCGCTGATGACAACATCTCCAAGTCGAACTTGATCCTTGGGTTTCTTGTTCGGATATGGTACACCTCCTCCAGTGCCTACGATGAGGAAGAACCGAATGGAAGGAATTGTTGTAAGCATAGCCATCGCAGTGGCTGCAGAGCTAACCTTTCCCGGCTCCTTCATTTGAACGATTGCGACATTGTGATTTGCAATACGACCCCAAGTATAGTTGTTCTGGTGTGCACCAGGCTGCGCGAGGTCGGATGGGGGGTCGTGTTCCTCGGCCAGTACCGCAATGGCCGCCGCCAGCTCATTGGGCAGAACTGTGATAATGCCTACTGTATAGGCACCATTATTCAATTGCTGGCGCGTGGGGATCTCGGAGCTCGACATGAAGCTATTTCGATTGGGGTGTTTTCTGGAGGAATGCTATCGAGGCTTTCCCCGTCAGCCAGAGTCCGGTGTTGGATTTCATGTTGGCTGGGAAACGAAGAGATCATTCCAGTAACCCTGGAATGACGAGATGGAAACTGGTTGCAATTCGAAAGTAGGGTAATGGCAATTGGGAAATACCACGCAAGAACGAAATGGGGGATGGGTTTGTAATCAAGGAGACTAACAGGAAAAGATTGGTGGTGCAATGCGTGAAGCGTGCGTTGAATTTTCTGATGAAGATTGAATCGAACAGGGAAAACAAGGCCGATGATTGAACGGGCAAAACTTGTTGATTAGAGAGACTGGGTAGGCAAATGAATAGCGAAGACTTGTTCAATCATTTATGCCCGGGATTGCATTTACATACGCGCCTCGATGGGCGCCTACCGTAGGCAGCAACCATTGCCTGGTTGCATTTTCGCGTACCTCTGGGCTGCGATTGGCTGTACCGGGGGCCAAGTAATCAACGAGAAATCCGACTTTGGCGACCGTGCTCCACTAATTGTATCGACTATGAGACAGGTCTTGCTTGCTGTGCCACACATGCAGATCCTGCCGTGTCAGACTCGCTCGTAAACTAGTGTTCCATAGCAGGTAGCTTCCCAGAGTGGACACGCCATATGAAGCATGGAGAGAAGGTTTATGGCGGTAAAGCGTGCGTTGATTCTACCCCGTGCTTGGGAGGGCGCTTAGAGAAAATCGTATCGTTGCCACTTTTGAACCGAAGCGCTCGTCAAGCGGGTTAAATCACAATAGCATCGCTTGGACGACCAATCGAAGTGGGGAGGCCAATCGCGGGCGCGATCCTTCCCGCCTATCCCTTCCCTTGTCGACAGACGGATTCTCTCCAGACAGCCATAGAATATTGAGGCGGTTATCGCGGCTCGTTGGTCTTTCATCCCACTTAGCCGCCGAGGCATCATGCTTTTTTAAGTTTGGAGTGCTTTGCGTCGCGATAACCGCTCACAATACCCCTACAGACGCAGGGGTCTTTGGCCTTTGCCGACAGAGGCTGTGTACAGCCACTCCGCCACCTTGCGAGTCGGTGACGCTAGTCCACACAAGGCAGGAGCGTGGCTGACAGTATGAGGCTATAGTGAGGACACCATGCACCGATGTCGTAACCAGCAATGCAGTGGCGGATAATTCGTAGGTTACGCAATACGACGACTTTGGCCACGCTTTTTCCCACCATCCCTTCCACGACACCGACACAAGAAACCCTCGACCTCTCCCCACCTCAATGCTCGCAAAAGTTGAAAACCCTCTATCGCACCACGCACACGTTAGCAAAACCCCAGCATCACACAAACACACACACACAAACACTCACCTCCTTGACCACCCCTTCCAACTCCTTCCCCAACCTCCCCCTCTCCGCCATCACTTCCTCCCTCACCTTAACCGCCTCCTCCCACCCCCACCCCGCATTCCATTCCTCCCCCTCGCCCAGGTACCCGACCACCTCCCTCCACACCGCCTCGGGCAAATCCCTCAACCTCGCCACACTCTCCCTTACCTCCCTCACCCACCAGTCCCTCCGCTGCGGCGGCACATTCGCACTCGACAAGACGCGCTGTCTCGGGTCGACGAGAAACATCGCAAGGATCTTCCTCCAGCCCGGACGCGTAGGATCAGCGAGCTGAAACGCGTCGACACGGTGCTGCAGGGTGTTGGGGAAAGCGAGGAGGCGGGCGGGGGGCGTGGCGACGCGGCCGAGGGGCTGGACAGCAGCGGCGGAGGGAGAGGTGGGGATGCCGTAGTAGGCGTGGAGGGAGGAGTGCTCGTATTGCGCGGGCTTCATGGCCATTTCTTCGATGTTGATGCCCTGCCGGAAGGCGAGGGATGAGGGCGTGGTGTTGTGGGCGTCGAGGTAGTACAGGGCGGTGGCGCAGATGCGCTCGTTGAGGGAGCCTTCGACGTGCCAGGTGCTGCCGCTGTAGGACGGCTGCGATGGCGTGAGATGGATGGTGGCGAGCTTGAAGATTACTTGCAGGCCGTCGGTGGCGAAGTCGCGTTTTAGGTCGATGGGGTGGGCGCCGGGGCGGTTGAGGGTCGAGGCGAAGGGGGCGAAGGCGGAGGGCTCGATGGGCTTGAGCACGCGGTTGGCTTTCCACCAGCGGTCGTATTCGGCTTCGAGGCTGTGGTCGCAGGCCCAGATTCTGTCTTGGCGGGGCGACCAGTCTTCGTCGCCGGGGAGTTGGCTGTCGGGGTGGTTTGTGCGTTGAGGGAATATGGGGACCTCCCAGTTGTCATCGTTCAGTTCCCCCGGGTGGATGCGGGTACGGTCGTGGAACCACGACAGACTTTCGTTCCAGAGAGGAACGGCCTTGTCTACGAATTGCTCGAGGGTAGTATAGAGATGGGCATGGTCTTGTGGATGGAGGTTGTTGATGTAGCTCGCGATTTTTGCGTGGCCGTCGGGTGTGAAGTCGATCTGCGCCGGCAGCCATTGGAAGTTGCCCCACGCCGGCAAATCCCAAGATTCATCCGTCCATTCGTCGATTATTTCAAAGTCATCGGTGTCATGCGCTGGAATCACCTCACCTTTTCCGATATACTTGGCACAGTCGTTCAGAGGGACACGCCCGCTGGGAAGCGCCCGCGTACGGCCAAAGACCACGGGATACAGCGAAGGATGGACCAGATCCAGGACCATCTTGTTTGAGCCGGGATGCCAATCCTTGAGAGGTTTTGGGACATCCTCCAACGGCCGAACATGTTCAATCAGGGCCTGCCTTAGAGTTTCGGGCACGGCGACATCAGACTTCATCACGGCGACTTCGACGTCCAGAACCGCGACCAGTCCTTTGTCTTGGTGCACCAGCGCTTTCTCCCGGAGTTCGAGGATGCACTAAGATGTCAATAAAAACTCAACTGCCTTGTACATCTCATCATTGACCTACATGATCGAACATCTGCTTGGAAAGATAAACATCCTTGATCTCATCATCGTAGCGCGTTGCTTCCATTTGCCATTTGGACACAATGGACTCGTCGAAGACTTTGCGATCCCATTCAGGCTTGTCTGAGATTTTGTTGACAAAATCCAGCATCCGTCGCTCCCGCAGCGTAATGCCATTACTAGCACCGAGCTCGAGAATGGCGTGAGGAAAGCGCTGTTTGTTGTCCTCTCGGCTCCATGGCGGCAGTTCGTCGAGAGGTAAGCCAAACCCTGGTAGAAAAACGTCTTGGCCAGGAAGCACGGAAGGCTCTGGAGTACTTGGGTCGTAACTTTCAAATGTCAATTCCATGTTTGGGATGTGCAGTCAAAATTTTACGGTCGAGTGCGGGGACATTGTATCTTAAGTCACCAAGGCTTGTGAGAGATGACGCAACCGGGGCCGAGCTAGACCAAAGAGCGTTAATTGAAAAGCCACTAATTTAGGCAGAACAGACGCTATCACAATTGGGGCGATCTCAACTCAGCTATGATTCGCCAACTCTCTTTGTTTTCATCGAATCATCAAACATTGACTTTTTAACAACTCGGTAGGAGCGGACAGCCCTCGTACTTAGGAGAAGTTGATGCGCGACGCTACATCTCCTAGAAGCTACATATCATATATTTCTCTCACGAGTATCTTTCTCTCAAGTATTGCCACTCTCCCCTATAGGCCCATAACTACCATATCGTGCGTCATCCGAGCTCGGTCCAGACGGATTTGGACGAAAAGATTTGTGAAAGTTGTAGCTCATACGTCCCGTATACATCGCTATAACAACCAAGATCTAGAGCTGCTAGCTTATTCGAAATCGGCATCTTTGTGAAGCAAAAATCACCATTTGACATTCACCTTAGTAGATTAGATGAGTATGATGCAACCGCAATCCTCCATGACGCTACCGCCTCGACTCAGTAGGCAGAAAAACGTCGAAAGCTTTTGTCGGTCGGGGTGATCACAGCCGGGTGTAGGAAGTGAAGCTGATAGCTGGATGATCTATTGAACACTGCTACTACATGAGGTTTATATACGCGCGAAGAAAGGGACAATAAGGGTCCTGATCATGATGATACGTTGCTGAATGAGACCCTTGTGGGTCTGATGATGAAAATCTTCCTCAACGAGGGTCATCTGCATGATGATGAGGTCCAACAGCTTTACTTACCTGGTCGAAGCTCTGTTGCACTACGTGACGCAATCACCGAAGCCTCTGCATCCCTTATGCCTAGCCGTTATCAAACTCAGCCCGGTAGCCGCAACCCCATATCATCTACCTACATTTGCTGGCGCAGCACATACCTACTCTCCCACTTTTGCCGCTGTACCGGCCAGGCTAGCTGGCAGCTCGTGTTCCAGCTCAGCGGTAAGGGCCGCAGTGCCCCTTCGTGGCCTGAGAACGCAGCCGCCGTCAGCAAGGATGAGACAAATGGATGCACACAGCGTGGGAACCTTCCTAAGACTACGTTAGCGAGATATCCCCTTGCGAAACTAATGGCCTCGGCACCGACGACAAGACGACGGTGGGTGAGGGTGCGGCCGCTGTGTTTCAGTGTGGTCGCGCGGGCCCGGAAAAGGCCGATGTGCAGATTTTCTTGACTGATAGCTTCCGGTCCCGAGAGCAGGCTTCATGCGAAAAAGTAGTCGCTGTCTGTGAGCATCGACATGCGGTGATATTTTGTCTCGCTAGTGATTACGTGACATTTGTGCGCCGGCTTGAGTGAATGCGAACGGTAGTCCGGCCCGAGACGCAAGGGAGCGCTCATTGCAGACCATGCAGTGGGGTATCATCGAGGGATAGACTAAGCATGAAAGAAGGGGGTAGAAAGAAAGAAATGGAGAGTGAGAGTGCGAAGGAATGAAGGAAGTAGATGTGTCAGTCGGTTGATCACAGCCGAGTGCAGAAGAGAAGATGAATGACTGGATGATTTATCAAACGCTGCTACTACATAGGTGAACGAAGAAAGAGGTACCCAACAAGGGTATTGTTCATGATAACACGTTGCTGAATGAGACCCTGTTGGGTTGGTGATGACGATCATCCTCAACGTGATGATTATACATGATGGTGAGGTCCAACAAGATGACATAGACAGGGCGTCTAGCAGGGAAAGTAAGCGCCAAAAACAGTTAATACATAAATCACTATATCTCGATGACTACCAACGTAGTCTCATACCATCTTTGATCTGCTCAATCGCATGAACCATGACAAGCACAGACCCGGATTCGAACGTGGAAGCGGTTCACGAGATATATCCAGATGGCGACATTTTACTCGTCTGTGGCCCGAATAAGGTGGTGCTCCTGATCCACTCCATCTTCTTGACGAATGCGTCCAAAGTGTTTGCTGCCATGCTCAATGGCAACTTTCGCGAGGGGCAACCGCAAGCCAACGGTGGCCGTCGGACCATTCCTTTGCCCGAGGACGACCCTTTTGCGATGGAATGCATTTGCGCCTCCCTCCATTCTCGGAACGAAAGACTGCCGAATTCGATGACACCAAAGCAGTTGCTAGCAATTGCCTATGCAGCCGACAAGTACGACCTTGTGTCTTCCTTGAGAATCATCTCATCGCATTGGTTCTCGGCGAACAAGGCAACTCAGTCTTCCTTCCACATTGAAGACTTCTGGAGTACAATGGCTGCCGCCTACATCCTAAAAGATGACGACTTTTTCCGTAGCACCACTGCTACCATCGTTTTAAACCACGACCAGTCTTTCCTTGGCCTTGACCAACTAGCCGGGAATATCGTGCCATCAGAAATCACACGTATGTCCCTGTCACCCAGACCGTGGAAAATGTCGCTAAACAGTGCTCGCAGTCAGCCTAGAGGAGAAACGCAACAGTGTCCGTCTAGCCCTCATGCAGCTATTGTATAGACAAGCATACATAACCCCGAACGACTGTTCCTGCATGGAGTCGAGCAGGTGCACCTGCGGATGGAACGCCCAGCATTGCTACGAATACATGCAAAAGCTGGGTTCTACTGAATTGCTTCCGGAGAAGATTTCCAGAACCGCTTTACATTCGGTCTTTACGACAATGGCGTTGATGCATCAGAAGTTCAATTTGGGGTTGTACTTTGTCACCAAGCTGGACGAATTGTTGAAATCTTGTGGTATTTCTCTTGATGCTTTTGAACAGGCTGAAGGGTATTTGTAGGGTTACGCGTAACCGAGAAACAATGCAGATCCAATCAGACGTTGGTCTATCTTATGAAAGTGCTTGCTCACGCGGCCAGAGTCTGCATTTATGAGGATTGATGCAGATTGAGCATTCATTCCCTCCCAGGCGTTACTTGGTGGGACTTACTTGCGCTCACTCTAAATTTTGGGTGCGACTTCCCAGCCTACTCCAGAGACCCTGCCCCGCATCTGTCCTACTAGCGGTGCAGACGACGACATGATAACCCGGGGAGTCTGGTAAGATCGACCAGGTGCGCTTCAGAGCTTGTCCAATACAAAAGTCTTCCTGAGTATCGTGGACCACGCCAGCACCGGGCGAGGTGATAGGCTGACAGCAGCGGAGGAGAAAATACACACAAAGTTCTTGACGGACGGGTGACTTGGTGAGCCATTCAAGGCGTTGGTGAGCCCGGCTACGATGTCTGGTATCATCTTGTTGGTTTGATTCGTTGCTCATCACCACTCCCATATGGACAATGGCGGTCACGTGTGGATTGAAGTCAGATGGGTCAGTTGTGGATCGGGTCGAGAAATGGACAGCCATATCATTCGTTGCGCTGTGGAATGCGTTCACGGCGACCATGTTAAGGGCTTGAAAGAGCTCAAATCTGTTGTGTCCGTTGACGTTGTCGAACTGGTCTCGCGGCCTTCGGTTCTGTTCCATGTTGCGCACAGCTCATCGCACGCGGTAACCCACTGACAGCCATTCACTTGCGACATGGCTCGCCAAGTAACCGTTGACTCCAGTGAGAAGCACGAGGTATCCTAGCGATAAGGTAGTTCTCGAATCCATTCCCTTTGGTTGGACCTCAGTGACAGTACTTCGGTGGAGCTGGTTAAGTCTGGTTCACGACGGCCGCGAACAGTTGTTTCACCATCTTAGCGCTGGCCAGCCGCATTCATTACTGTTTATGCCGCCCTAGGCATGCATAAAAGCTTACTAACGACGGTCGGGTAGAGCATTGGATAATGCACTGCAGGGGCAGTCGGCCCAAGCTCATTGGTCAACCCAGCGGAATTACTCGCTGATGAATGGTTTAATCTACTCACTGATGTTTGCAGTTTTGTAACTGTGTTTCATAGAGCAGAGAAAATGTATGCACTAAGCTCTGGATAATGTATAGCGTAAATTATCCAAAGACGGACTGCCCCACTGCCTACACGCAGTCGGTACCATATATATTAGCCCCATTCTTCTCGCCTGACCAGTCTGCACCATCCTCGGCAGCTCCCGATACAACGGCAGCGACCCCTCCATCCCCCACTTGAGCACATTCTCCGCCCTCACCGCCGTATGCACCGAGTCCGTGCCCCACAGATACCTCCCACCTGGCCACATCCCCTCCACATCCCCAGCCCCGGCTCATCCACCTCCCCCGATTCAAGCCACCCCCACCTGCACGCCTCCTGCACGACCTTCCCCAACATACCCCAACACTGCTGCCCCCGCTCCGCGAGATAACACCCCCGCACCCCCCCACGTCGACGTTCCCCGCCTCCTCGCCAAGCCTCAGGGGTACACTACTCACCTCCCACACATGCACGTTGCACCACCGGTTCCACCCCGCGCCCACCCAAAATGCATTCCCGTGGCGCAGCGTGCATCGAATCATCACTGGAGCTTGGACAGAGTGGCGGTTGGGTGTCCACGACCGGTGCCGGAGATCATCGGCGGGCATATGACGGCGGGGGTGATCAGGTCTGTGGCATTGTCGAGGACGATTACGACGATACAAAGCAAAAGAAAGCATCAAGAATACTCGGTTCACATGGTCAACACGCGGCACATCGTGATGAACCGCTTATTGTTGTCGTAGACTCTCAAAACTCTAACCGAAGAAGTGGAGGGGAAGGTTTTGATTACTCAAAATACTGTGATTCCGTAGGCTCGATGAATTTTGATCTAAAACCCGACTGCAATCTCAGGCTCTTAGCAGACCCGCTCCCGACCCAAACAAACGTATGAAAAACTCGTAACGATGCAACACTTTGGTGCAACAACCCCATGATCTATCAAACTCAACACAGACTCTCTATCTCCACCACGACCCCACCCCCTCTACGACGACGAAACCAGCTTCCCCAAGCTCCCCACCAGTCCACCCGCGCCCTTGACCCTCCCATCCGCCACCGCCGCCGCGCCCAGCGCCACAACAAGCGCGCTCACAACAGCACTGAGATTCCGCCTGCCCGCCCACCTCCGCAAGCTCCAGACGCGCCACCAAGCGGAGCCGCCCTCCATCTCGAACGCCTTCCAGTCGGGCCACAGGGTGGCGAACCAGTACTCGAGGGCGAGGCCGGGCCAGCTGGCGACGTTGCGGCCGAACTCGCTGCGGTACCAGTTGGAGCAGTTGCCGCTGAAGACGCTGCCGCGCAGCCGCAGCTGCAGCGCGTTGGTTGTGCGCGTCTCGACGCACTCCTTGACCGCGATGGCGCGCGCGCGGTTCTCGAGCAGCGGCGCGAAGAGCGCGCGCGCGGCGTAGCCGACTTGGGTTTCGCAGGCGTAGAGGGCCGAGTTGTTGGCGGGGAAGGTGTTGGGGCCGAAGCTGTGGGAGGGAGGTGAGTTAGCGGGGAGGTTTCTTTTTGGGGAAGGGGAGAAGGGAGCGGGGCGGGCTTACAGGATGGCGAGGTTGGGGAAGTTGTGGACAAAGGTGCCCAGGTAGGCCTGGGGCCCGCGGGTCTCGCGCCACTGCTGCTCGAGGGTGGAGCCGTTGGCGCCGGTGATGTCCATGGGGGTGAGGAACTGCGAGACCTTGAAGCCGGTGGCGAGGACGATGATGTCGTACTCGTCGACCCGGCCGGACGAGCTGACGATGCCCGTCTCGGTGATGCGCTGCAGGCCCTCGGGGATCAGCTCGACGTTGTCGCGGTGCAGGCACTCGAGGTAGTCGGGGTTGGCGATCTTGCGCTTGCAGCCCAGCTCGAAGTCGGGCACCAGCGTGTCGTGGTACTTTTGCGGCGCGGTGGAGAAGATGTACTGGCGGGCCTGCTCCTCTTCCTTGAGACGCTGGGCGACGCCTGCGTCGGTACCGCGGTACGAGTACGACTGCTTGTCGATGTTCCAGAAGATGCTCATGCGCCGCAGCTTCATCAGGCCGGGCACGTAGCGGAACAGGAACTTCTCCGTGGCGCTGAAGACGTGGTTCGGCCGCTCGTGGTACCATTGAGGGCTGCGGGCGTACTGCTTGACCGAGGCGGCGTGCTTGGCGAGCGAAGGGATGACTTGGACGGCGCTGCAGCCGCTGCCAATGACGGCCTGGGGGGTTGCGGTCAGCTCGGGCTCTCTGTGTGGGAGGCAACGGACGAGGGGGTGGACTTACGACTCTCTTTCCGGCGTAGTCAACATCGTGGCGCCAGCGTGCGGTGTGGAACATGGCGCCCTGGAAGTCCTCCATGCCCTCGAAACGGACCTGGAAACGCATTCATGTCAGCAAAAGGTCGACGGGCGGCGCGTGTTGACGGCGATGCTTACGTCGCGGGGGTGGGAGATGCCTCCCACTGCAGAGACAAAGACGTTTGCGGTCCGGGAGAACTCGATGCCGGTGCCGAGGTCTCTGAGGTTGACGTGCCATAGGGAAGCCTCCGAGTCCCAGCGGGCGCCGAGGCATTCGACCGACGGGTTGATGTGGGAGCGCAGCTCGAACTTGTCCACCGTGTCCTCCATGTACTGCAGGATCTCTGGTTGCTCGGCGAGCTCCTTTGACCAGTTGGGGTTCAGGTTGAAGCTGAACGAGTAAAGGTGGGAGTGGACATCGCAGCCGCTGGGGTAAAGTCGTCAGCAACAAGACGGAGCGGAGCATGCAGCAGCATTGGGGCTTACCATCCGGGGTATGTGTTTGTCCTCCAGGTGCCTCCAACACCATCCAACTTCTCGTAGATGGTGAAGTCCTCGAAGCCCATCTCATGCTTCAGCTTGTGGGCCATGGCAATGCCCGAAGGGCCTGCGCCGATGATGATGGCGTTGATTCCCATTGTTGCGGCGTGGGAGAGTTGGGGGTATCGAGTGCAGAGTTGGGTTGCTCGGCGGCTCTGTCTAAAAGAAATGGGCTGGCGAGGCCATGGCTTTGCAAGAGACGTCACCGGAATTAACTACTGCATAGAGCGGTCCGGTTGGCGTGATGTCGGAATTTGCGGGTTCGCCGCCGTGCCCCATGGGGTTGACATCACGTGCCGGATTCCAGTGTCCGAACGCACGGAAATGCCGACCGAGTGCGGGGTAGAGGCTGGCAGAGGCTGGCAGTTGCATCGCTATTCCGACGCCGGCAACGACGGTGATAATCCGCCGCTGTCCCCCTGCACTGCCGGCCGCCTGGCGCGGGTTCCTTGGTTTCCTTGGCTACACAAGTTCATTTTTCCGCTACGCAAATTACATACACGAATTCCGTCTGCGTCACGCCACGGAAAGCACCACGCCTGCCACGCCTGCCACGCCTGCCCTGTTTTTCGCCTTATAAATACCCCACATGCATCCCGCACGCACCCCACACGCCCCCCGCCATCTGAACAATTCCCCACTCCCAGCCCGCTGTCCTCGTCCAGCAACGTCCACATCGCCACCAAAGCCATCACTGCATTCCCACGCCCACGTCCGCAACGGAAACAGGGCGGCGGGGTGCGTGATGGAAGAGACAGAGTCCCGTTCGCGGTTCCAATTCCAATGCAGCCTGCTATCCGCAGCGCACGGCGCGTGGTGTTGCGCGAGATCCGACCTCCCCTCGTGCTGGCCATGGCCGAGGCACGACTACCACTTCCACAAACCCCGATCGTGCAATCCTTACGCCGGCGGGTTGGTTGAAAAAGGCGTGGTCGAGCACTCAAGGGCCAGCCGGGCAAACAAACAAACCCTCCATCCCCGGCTCCGTGCCACACGCCAGGCAGCCAGGTGGCAGGCAGGTCACATGGAGACGCCCGTCTCGACGCCATGCGAAGCACTGCGGCGCTTGGCGCGCTCGTCGCTGGCAAACGACTGAGCGCGGCGCTTGGAGCCGGCGGCGGACGAGGCGGCGACGAGGCGGGCCTGCCAGGTGCGCTTGACGTGCAGCAGCACGTCGAGGGTGCGGGTGGCGTTGTCGAAGGTGTTGCCCAGCTCGGCGAGGGCGCGGCAGCACGTGTCGAGGCGGGCGGCGATGAGCTGGTGGCTCTGCACGTCGCCGCCCTCGGACACGGTCGCGTACACGAGCACCAGCGCCGCGCTGAACGTCATCTGCACCGCCTGGATGTTGATCAGCCCCAGCGAGAACCGCTCCTCGTACCACGACAGCAGCGTCGCGATCCGCGACGCCGACCGCACGCACATCTGCCGCGCGTGCTGCGGCCCGGATCCCACCAGCGGGTGCGGCTGGATGTAGCGCTTGGCCACGAACGGCCGGTGCAGCAGGATGACGAGGTACTCGTAGAACATGCTGTGTCTGCGTGTTAGCGCTGTGGTCGGCGGCTGGGCGCTGGGGGGAACCTACTGTAGTATGAGGACGTGAGGCACGCAGTTGGCAGGCATCGCGCCGTCGAGGTCGAGGTCGAGCTCCCTCGGTAGGTTGCGTCTCCAGGCGAGCAGGCGGTCCCATGTCTTTTGTGCCAGTTTTTGCAACTCCACTTTGGAGGCGTCGGCTTGGAAGTACCTGCATCGGTCAGTGAGTCTGTCTTTGAGCCTCAAGTGCAGTGCCCGACTCACAAGGCGCCTTCGAGAGCAGACATGATCCTGGGGAGTTGGATGTACTGCTCCACCAGAATCTCTTGGTGATCCAGCACCCCGTGCTCCAGCCCTGACGCGGATGGCGTCCAGTATGTCTCCCGATGCTCCGAGAACGCGATTGGCGTTTCCATAGTGACCGTCGCCGAGATGTCGTGCAGCGGTCTTCCAAGATAGAGGCCCCACATGCTACCGCACCCGTCAGTTGACTTCTCTCAGCCCACCTACGTCGGGGGGAAGGGGCTCTTACCGGTCCGTCGCGAAGGCACCCCAAAATGCCACGCTTCGACCCCTTGCCTCTTCGATCGACATGGTCCCGGCCTCGACATAGGGCTTCGCGCTGGTGTGCAGCCCAAAATCAATGGCGAGCCGGACGGCCATCCCTAAAGTCACAACCCGGCGTCAGTCATGGCAGTTCCGTCTTTGAAGTGCATGCTCGGATCATACCGCCAAATAGCCATCCTTGCGTGTCTCGCGTGCACGCCGCCTCATGGCTGCTGAGGATGGCAAGCGCCTGCACCGTGGCGATGCGCGGGGACTCGAGTTCAATGTCGAGCAACGTCGTGGCTCGACTCGCGAAGAACTCGGCCAGGGGGGTGGGTAAGCCGGGGTGCTTGCGCGTCTCGAAAATGGCGCCGACAGCACACCTGCACACGTGTCAGTCTTGCCGCTGGATCGGGGGTGGGGGCTTGGAAGTTTGTACATGGCATTGAGGAGGAACGGGGAATAGAACGAGGTCGAGCGATCCCCGTCTTCGAACCTCTTGCGGGCGGCTCTGAAGATGTCTCGGTCAACCAGGTACAGGCTGGGATTGTGCCAGGTGAAGAAGAGGTGCAGGAGATGATCCTCGAGATCGCTGCTGATGCATTGATCGACACCGGCGGCTTCCAAGCGGGCGTGCGCCTGCCGACCCTTCTCGCGGCGTCTGGCATACAGCGCGGCCACCGTCTTGCTCCGGGCCAGGTTGAGGTTGGAGGTGGCGCCGTAGAAATGGCGCTCCCCGTTGTCGCCGGTCAGGAGGGAGCCCAGGCGGGCCGAGAGCTGGTTGGTGACGGCCGAGTGGTCTTCGTCGTCGGTCGAGTCATCGTCATTGAGCAGGGTAGGGGGAGAGGGATCGTCGGCAGAGCTGGAGGCGAACTCGGCCCGCATTGCGGGATCATCGCCTCGCGGCGCCCACAGGTCGAGCTCGTCGACGTTGACGGCGGCGTCCATCTGCGGAGCCATGGTGTGGTTCCACACCCAGTCGACATCGAAGCAGTGGTTGAAGGGCAGGGCTGTCCCCGCAAAATCCAAGTCGGCGGGTATGCCCATGGGCGGGACCTCACACGGATGCTCGGGTGGGTCGAGCATGGCGTGCAGGGAAGGCGTCGGCATGCTCAGGATGTCAATCGGGGGGCTGTTTGACGGCTGGATGGCCGGAGCATTCAGGGTGGGTCCCAGATCCGGCAGAATACGGGGCTGCTTGTTCAGGGCGGCCTCGGAATAAGCCGGCTGTGCGGGGCTCAGCTGGGGCGCTGGATCCGGGGCGTACAGGCTGGAGAGCTGGCTCATGGTCGCCTCGTGGTCTTGGTTCGGGGCGGGCGGGACGGCGAGGCCCTGGGAGCGGATATAGGACTCGAGCTGCGACACGCGCTGCGAGTAGGCCTCGACGGCCTTGCGAAGCGATAGCCTGGCCCAATCAGCCGTCTTGCGCGTCGAGACACGGCGCAGTCACGCTTACTTTCTCCTGTCAACGCCGGCATAGCTGCAGCCGCGGCCCTTTGCGGCGCACTGGCGACATTCCGGAGTGGTCCCGTCACACTGCAAGGGAGAAGGCATGAGATGCGGTCACCAATCAGCACGTGCGGAGGAGGCGGTACCTTGATCTTGTCCTCTCTGCAGGGCCAGCAGGCGGTGGTGATGTGTCGTCGGCTCCGGGCGGGCCGAATCTTGCCGTCCATGGTCGCAAGGGCAAGGAGAATTACCTACAGCCGCAAAGATGCGTCGCGTACGTAGTTGGCACGAGATGCTGTGCGGAGGTGGGATGTTTGTCGCAAATTCCAGGCCAATGCGGGGAAACGCTTTCCCCGCAATTTACGAAAATAGGGTTCCCTCGGCACTCCCCACACAAAACCGGCCAATCACGAGCCCGGCTCGGTATATAGACTCCGACACCGGCACTGCTACTTGCATGGCGATGCATCACAGCATCGGCTTAAAGCAAAGAGATTCCATGAGAAGAGCCGCCAGGAATCAATTCTGAGAAGAGCCGTCTCCTTGTTCTTGAAGATCGACCAGAAATCAATCAGTCATCATGGGTTCCATCGCATCAGCCAACCCCCTGGACGCGGTATGCTTGCTCCCCGCCGTCCTGGACAACAACCATTCTCTGACGTCTGCTCCAGATCACCGATCCTTCCCTTTTCATCTCCGACGCGTTTGTGGGCGGCAAATGGTTCAAGTCGGACAAGACTTTTGACGTCACAGGTAATATGTCACGTGCCCTGTCTCAGCCCGGCCCCCACTCACACGGCAACAGCACCCGCAACCGGCAAGGTCTTCAGCAAGGTCGCCGACCTGACAAGAGAGCAAATCGTCCAGGCCATCGACCACTCGGCCGAGTACCAAGACCAGTACTTCCAGTCCACCACCGCAACACAGAGATCAAACCTCCTGCGAGCATGGCACGACCTCGTCCTGAAAAACATCCGAGACCGTGCGTCCCCCGCTGCCCCCAGCCCTCCCCAGTCCATGTCTCACCCGCATCCCAGTGACCATCATCCTGTGCCACGAAAACGGCAAGACGTACGCTGAAGCCGAGGGCGAGATCAAATACGCCGCCAGCTTCATCGCCTGGTTCGCCGAGGAAGCCAAGCGGTCCTACGGCGACACCATCCCGTCCTCGCACCCCAACAGCACCGTCCTCACCTTCAAGCAACCCGTCGGCGTCTGCGCCATCATCACCCCGTAAGCCCCCCCTACTCCCCGTATCCACCGCAACGCTGACCCTCTCACCCCCACAGATGGAACTTCCCCGCCGCCATGATCACCCGCAAGATCGCGCCCGCCCTCGCCGCCGGCTGCACCGTCGTCATCAAGCCCCCGAGCGAGACGCCGCACACGGCCCTCGCCCTCACCCAGCTCGCCATCGCCGCAGGCATCCCACCAGCCTGCATCCAAGTGGTGCCGACGCGCGACCGCTCCGCCGCGACGGAGCTGGCGACGAACCCGCGCATCGCGAAGCTCAGCTTCACGGGGTCGACGGGCGTGGGCCGCATGCTGGCCGAGAGCGCGGGGCGCACGCTGAAGAAGCTGTCGCTGGAGCTGGGCGGCAACGCGCCGTTCGTCGTGTTTGGCGACGCCGACGTCGACCGCGCGGCCGAGCAGGTCGTGGGCTGCAAGTTCCGGTGCGCGGGCCAGACGTGCGTGTGTGCGAACCGCCTGCTCGTGCAGCGCAGCGTGTCGAAGGCGTTTACCGCGAAGCTCGTCGAGAAGGTCCGCGAGACGCTTCGCATGGGCAGCCCCTTCGACTCGGCTACCACCCAGGGCCCGCTCATCAACGCTGCTGCTGTGGCTAAGACGCACGAGCTCGTGCGCGATGCGGTGGCTAAGGGCGCGGTCGTCGAGCTTGGCGGCAAGCCTCGTGAGGGCGACGGCTACTACTTCGAGCCCACTGTGCTGACTGGCATGACGTCTGACATGGCCATTGCTAAGGAGGAGATCTTTGGTCCCGTCGCCGCCATCTTCGAGTTCGAGGACGAGGACGAGGCGGTGCGTATGGCTAACGACACCGAGTTCGGCCTGGCTGGGTACTTCTTCAGCCGCGACGTGAGCAGGGTGATGCGTGTGGCGCAGCGGTTGCAGTATGGCATGGTCGGTGTGAACACGGGCGTCATCAGTGCTGCGGAATCGCCGTTTGGCGGCATCAAGCAGAGTGGCTATGGACGCGAGGGAAGCAAGTACGGCATGGATGAGTACCAGATCCTCAAGTCGGTGACGATTGGCGGTATTGATAAGTGAAGAGGCTGGCATTATAGAGCTCTGTAGTAGATAGATGAATCCCCATATCGTAAATTTTCAGTAAATCAATCCGTTCTCACTCGTTTTGAATGAAAAGCCTGGTGATGCGATGTACACATTTACATGTACTTGGAAGTGTAGCTTGGGATAACGTGTTCCACCGGGTTATGAGACACACCAATGAGGGCGCGAGGTTGATTCAGGGCCGAAGAAAATCCACGAGTTGGATGCAGCATGTGGTTGGCTACCTGATAACCCGGTGCGTCGCATAACCCGATGGAACACGTTATTCATATGTGGTACACGCCATCGCATAACAGACAAAGCAGGCGACAATCAGGGCGGTAGAATCATCGCCTCTATCAGCTCCCAAAACTTGACATACCCTTCCCTCTGTATTAATGTCCTCTTCAAACCCCCCACCTCTCTCGACCGTGAGTCCCTCTCGAATTCCAAATCAACCAACACAAAACACGTACGGCCCCCCGATATTCCTTCACAAATACTCTTACATCGATGGCTACCTTCTGCAAAGACAGAAAGAGTCTGTATACACGACAACAGGAAGGACTAAGCATCGTGTCATGGTGTTGACAGGCAAAGGGAATTGCACGAGCTGAACGCGATTTATTTCTGTTTCACAAATAGCCGACTCGGCAAGCAAAAGAAATGTGGCATAATCATAGTCTATTTTCGAGCTAATCAATGGCTAATCAAAAAGCTATACATGGTGGCAAAGCGAAGCTGTGAACAGGTGGCACACTAAGTTCTACCGGCATGGATGCCTCCAGTGATGAACATGTCCGAGGCAGTCTGGTAGGAACTGGCATCGCTAAGCAGGAAAACCGCGGAGCCCTTCAGGTCCAGGCGGTCTCCCATTCTCCTCATGGGCGGCTCTGTCACGAAGACCTTGAACAGATCGGGGTTGGATTCCGCAATGGAAAAGGCCATGTCGGTGCCGATGTATCTGCTGTTGTTAGCCGGAGGTGCTTTCGAGGAGGTGGTGGTTGACGTACCCAGGAGAAATGGAGTTGACCCGGATTCCCCGTTCTGCGAGCTCGCAGCCGATTGCCGTGGCAAGAGAAACGACGGCTCCCTTGCTGGAACAGTAGTCACTTGTGCATTGGCCCTTGCTTACTCTGTGTGCCGCGACGGACGCAATCAACACCATGGAGCCGCCCCTGGGCTCGGCCTTGCCCTCGTCCTGCTTCACAATCTGTCTTGCCGTGAGCTGTGCGGCATAGTACGTTCCCAGGGTGTTGATGTTGAAGCAGCGGGCCACGCTCTGGGGATCCCTGTCCAGGAAGGGTTCGTCGGGGCAAATGCCGGCAGCCGTGATCCTACACACCAGGTCAGCCTCATCGAAACCGGGGGTATACAGGGCCAGGGCTCGGATGCTTACAGGCCATCAATGTGACCAAAGTCCTTGACGACTTCGGCAAAGGTCTTCTCCAGAGTGGGGTAGTCGGTGACGTCGGTGCTGCGTTAGGGTCAATACGCAAGCCGTGCGACGAGCCAATGGGGAATCCGTACTTGTACAGCTTGACCTTGACGCCGTAGTCGCTCACAAGCTTGTTGAAGTGCTCGTGCGGAGAGGCGAGGCGGTCAAGGATGGCGACGTCGCTGCCAGCCTCGGCGCAGGCGAAACCCAAAGCCAGGCCGATTCCGCGGGCTCCGCCGGTGATGACGGTGACCCGTCCCTTGAGCGAGAACAGATCTTGCACCGTCCTCGACAGGTAGAGGTCATTGGCGCGTTCGGCGGCTTTGCTTCCCATTTTGACGGTGATGACGAGGTGGCGACTGGTGATGGGAGGCGGGAACAATAATGAATTTGAGTTGGGATCAGGCGATGAGGGGCTCCAGGGTGCCAATGCCTGGCCCTTCTTTTTGTACGCAAACCCCGCCATTCAGGGACTGCGGGGTAGCAGCCAATCGGAATTCGCGAATAGCGCGGGGTGCGGGGCGGAATTGCTAGGCGGGCGGAGATCGACGTCATTGGCCCGGATTTTGAATTCCCGCGGCGACGCACTATTCCACCACCCACCTCCGAAGCCGGATGCCAAGCCCATCGTGATACCCCGTTAGAGAAACTGTTAAGCTCGCCGTTTGCCCTGGTCGTGTGCAAGCCATTGAGTGTTTTCCCCACCATCGCCTTCAACATGACCAAGCATGCAGGACTCGACACCGACGTCGCCGTGAACGGCAACGCATCACATCCCGAAACTTTTTCTGGCGACAACGAGAATGCTGTTCTTGCCATCCGCAACCTGGTCTTCGACATCTGCACCCAGAATGGTGGAGGCCACGGCGGTTCGGCCTTGGGCATGGCGGCCATCGGAGTCGCGCTGTGGAAGTATGTCATGCGCTACAACCCAGCCGACCCCGAGTGGTTTGACCGGGACCGCTTTGTTTTGTCCAACGGTACAGTTCTTCGCCCTTTCCGAGCGACGACTCCAATCTAATCCGAATCCACAGGCCATGCTGCCATGTTCCTCTACGTCATGAACCACCTCACCGGATACGACGTGTGGACCATGAAGGAGCTCAAGGGCTACGGAAGCGGCAAGGAGAACGGCTTCCACACCTTGTGTCATGCCCACCCGGAGGTCCAAGTCCCCGGCGTCGAGGTGACGACCGGTCCCCTTGGCCAGGGCGTTGCAAACGCTGTTGGCCTGGCAATCGCCTCGAAGAATCTTGCCGGCAACTTCAACAAGCCCGATTTCCCGCTTGTGCAGTCCAGGATATGGAGTGTGTGCGGTGATGGCTGCCTGATGGAAGGAGTTGCCCTTGAAGGTATGACATTCTCCAGAAACACTTGCAATTAAACCACTAACGTCTGTTTGACAGCCATCTCCCTCGCCGGTCACTTGCAGCTGGACAACCTCGTGCTCATCTATGACAACAACGCCGTCACGTGTGATGGGCCTCTGGGCTGGATCAACACCGAGGACATCAACGCCAAGATGAGGTCCCAGGGCTGGCACGTCATCGACGTCGAGGACGGCACCCATGACGTCGAGTCCGTCCTGGCTGCCCTTCGACTTGCCAAATCGTACACCGGAAAGCCCGTCTTCATCAACATCAGGACTGTCATCGGCGTGGGCACTTCCACGGCTGGCACCCACAAAGCTCACCACGGCGTCTTCGACAAGGAAAGCATCGCCAAGTCCAAGGCGCTTGCGGGCCTGGATCCCAACTCTACCCACGAGGTTCCAGCAAGAGCGCTCGACTTCTTCCGTGAGAGGCGGCACCATGGAATCGAGATTCAGCGGGAATGGGACGATCTCCTGACACGCTACTCGAAATTATACCCCAAGGAGGCAGCCGCCTTCATCAGACGGAGAAGTTCCAGCGTCGAGGATGGAATCCAATTGTTGTCGAAGATGGACAGCAAGGAGCTCGAGGGTAAGGCCACGCGACAGAGCAACGGTATCATCCTGGAGCGCCTGTGGGAAGCAGTGCCTTCGCTTTGCGGCGGAGGTGCCGATCTGGTCAACTCCAACATGGTCAGCTACGCCACCGACGACGTCTTCCTGCCGCAGACGGGCCACAAGGGCCGCTACATTCGCAACGGAATCAGAGAGCACGCCATGGCATCCATCGCCAACGGAATCGCCGCATACAACCCAGGAACATTCCTCCCCATCACGGCAACCTTTTTCATGTTCTACCTCTACGTAAGCGCCCCACCCACACCATCCGCGAACCACTAACCAACCACCCACCTCACGCAGGCAGCTCCAGGTGTCCGCATGGGCGCCCTCAGCAACCTCCCAGTAATCCACATCGCCACCCACGACTCATTCCGTACGTATCCCCCCGCCTCCCAGCACCTCTACCCGATCTCTCTAACCCCCCTCCAGAAGAAGGCCAAAACGGCCCCACCCACCAGCCCGTCGAGCTGGACTCCCTCTACCGCGCCATGCCCAATCTTCTCTACATCCGGCCCTGCGACGGCGAAGAGGTCCTCGGCGCCTGGACGCTAGCCCTCAGCAACACCTCGCAACCGACGCTGCTCTCGCTCGCGCGTGACCCGGTTCTGCGGAGCGTGCCCAACACGGACCGCACCAAGGTGCAGCGCGGCGCCTACGCCGTCGTCGCGCCCGACGCGTACGACGTCACGCTCGTGAGCTGCGGGTCGGCGCTGCACTACGCCGTGTCGGCGGCCGAGGCGCTCGAATCCAGCAGGGGCATCAAGGTGCGCGTCGTCAGCGCCCCGAGTCTGGATCTGTTCGAGGCGCAGGAGGAGGCGTACAAGGACGAGATCTTCCCCAAGGGCGATGCCAGGCCCATTGTGAGTGTTGAGGAATACATCGCGACGACTTGGGCGAGGTATGTGACGGCGAGTGTGAGCATGACTGGGTATGGGTACAGCGGGTCGAATCGCGGGAATTATGCGCGGTTCGGGCTGGATGCGGAGGGGATTGAGAAGAGGGTTGGGGGTTATTTGGACTGGTTGGCCGGACGGGATGCGAGGGGTTTGGGGTGGAGGCAGTTGTAGGCGGGGTGTGGAGGGCTTTCCTTTTGGTTTGATGCATGGGACGGCTTAGAGCTCGGTAGTTGTCTGTTTTTGTCTCTCCTATTACACGCGATAGATCCCAGCATGGTGAAGAGGAAAGAGCTCTTCCCGGGTATCTTTTCGTAGATTCAATTAATTGAATAGAAAATTATGCTTATAAGCTGCAGCATCTCTCATGGAAGTATGAGAGTTACAGACTGGTTTAGTGGAGAAGTCGTAAACGGTCTCTCTGATAAATGCACGCATCTTATTTACAAAAGCGCCGCGTGTCTCGTCGTATCGGTAAATGGAGGTCCTACCAATTTGGCCATGCTGCACTCTTATAGGAGAGACGAGTAACACGTTTCCACTTTTCGCATGGCTTAATTTGTTTCTATACAACGCTAGGTGAATTCCCTCGCCAGCCCGGGAAGCTAATGCACGTCGGGGTAAATTCACTCAGTAAAGCAGTGCTTGCTAGAATGGGCGGGTATGACTATCATAATAGTGACGGATGGTGTGATTGCAGCTATTGGTGTTGAGGTCTGCCCACATTTTGGGTAATCGATCTGCAGTCGGCGGACTGGAATTCCAATTCGAAGATTCGACGTCCTGTTTTACGGGGGTTAAAACAAAGAAAAATGTTGATTTCATCATTTCAAACTTTAAAAAAATTTATTACAGGTCTGTTCAAATGAACGACATCACGTTCAGCAAATCATAAAGAAAAAGATCTTCTTTCTTCTGAAACGCCTTACTATATAACGAAAAATACAATTTCCCATGTCGTACGTTATCTCCAAATGCATATTCCCGTTTACCGTTAATATTTTATTGGGAGAAGCGAAGAAAGGTTCTCAACCGACACCATACCATGCAAAATCCACCTCAGTGCTTTTCCCTTCCAGCATGTGACCCTCTTATCCCAATCATCTCATCACTATCAACCGTACTATGCCTCCCCAGGTTCCCGTCGTGCCCACCATGCCCACCCCCAATGTCATTCCCGTGACCGTTGTTGCCGTGTCGTCCGTGCGGATCCATGCTACGCTTTGATTCTGCATATCCGCCGTTGGCACTCTCCATATCGGACGCCGACTTCTTTCGGCGATGGTCGCGAACTTCGTGGAACGCGGCTGTGATGGCGTGGAGGATGCTGTGAGATGGGGCGGCGGGTCAGTCTGTGTGTCTCCGGAGCGACAGAGGGAGAAAAGCAGGGAAGAATGGAGAGGGAGGAGAGGGAGAGTGTAACGTACGTGCTGATGATAGCCAAGATGAAGGTGCCCCATGGGAGGTTGCAAGTGTCGTCCTGCTTTCCCGTCCTGCCCGTCCCCGTCGTAGATCTGTCATTATCCCCCGAAGTGTAGCAATGCCTCGGCCCCGCCGGGCCTCCGTTCGGGCGCGTCAACACGGCAACAGCAGTAAACGCCCCCACGAAGGCGAGGTCCAAGAGTACCCACAGCCAGCGCAGCCACTTGGCGCCACGCCCTTTGAGGATGCACCCCAGCAGCGTCGAGATGAGCGTGTACAGCACCGCTGCGGCGAGGATCCCTTCGACGGCGCCGAAGGAGTGGTTGATGCCGTGGCGTCGTTTGATGGCGTTGGTGAGGCGGTAGACTTTGTAGACGCGGGAGGAGAAGATGCCGAGTGAGATTACGGCGGAGAGGAATTGGAGGAGGCGGGTGAAGCGGAGGAACCAGCGATAGAAGGCACCGTGTTTGAACCTTTCGGGAAGACACCGAGTGAGGAGGCCAGTTTGGTTGTGGGTGTTGGACTGTGTCATGGTGGGGGTTGCAAATTGGACGAAGGTGAGAGTCCCCTTAGCCTTCCGGGTCCGGTCGGGCTGTCTTTTCAAGTGGCCATTTTTTGTCCATTTCAATGACCGCGGATGATGGTGTTTCCGAAACCGGTTTCAAATTTGATTATGACGAGTGCATGCTTGTATGGTAGAGGGGACGCTCAATAACCGGATTGAAGACTAGCGTAGAGCGGCGAAGGTGAAGTCTCATCCAGTCCTTGGGAGTAATGTTGCCATACGGTCGGATAGCTGCCCGATAGTCTGCAGTGGCAGATGGTCTAAATCTTTTCGCCCAGGCTGAGGGTGGGGTAGCGGGGTGCGGATGGATCGCCGCTACGGGTCGATGACGGCTCGCGACGTACAACGGCTTGCACAAACTCCGCTAAGCCTGGCACCAACGCCAGCTCGAACCCTTTTATTCGTTCGCTTCACCCCTTGCAGCCTATATCCCGATGCGCGTCATCCGCCGCCAAGGGTCTCGCCAGGCATGCCTAAGCTTGTTTTCCGGCTTGTCTAAACAAGTTGACAAGCCGCTGACCCAAGTTTCGATGGCCGAATATGTGAGCTCAACATGGAGAAGGACGTGATAGTCAGCGTATGGCCAGTACCCAAGTTGACTGGGGCAGAAGTGAGTATGTAATGGCCGCCTTACGTCAGCCAAGGAAAAACGCTGACAAGGTGCAACAACTGGTATGAAGTCCAATACGCGAATGGCCCGACTGCATCTGTTGTTTGGGATGTAGACACTAACATCGGTGGCAATAGTTTTGGAGAGGACGGGTGGCGGCTGTACCCTCAATATCTCGCCGGTAACCAACAACACCCCGTACTGCCTCAGCCGCGAATTCAACCCCGACCGTTCCACAGGCGCGGATTTCAACAGCCGGTGATGGCAGTGGCAGTTCGGCATCTTGTCCACCCGCCATTATGACATCGCTCGTCAGAAGATCCCCACCAGCTAGTTCTTGTCTGCCAGCTGTCTTGAGTCTCATCCGGCGCCCATGAAGAATTGATTCGGAGATGATGGGACTGTGGCAGTATTGCGTCATGACCTTTGGGTGGTCAGGCTGATTCCTAACGTCACAGTTGGCCATATCATGGACTTGGGTGGGGGGTTAATTTGTTCCGAGTATATCTGAATGTGGGTAGTAATACACGTTGCGGGGTGATGGCAAACGACGGAGCTGGATCCAGAAGACCGCCCGGCTTAGAGCAGCATGGAAAAAAGGGTGTTGGAGACAAGTAGAAAAAATTGAGAGAGAGATCTTTTCAGAACAGATATTCTGGCTGCGTGCATTCGGTATCTTACAACTCATAAAGCTGTTGCCACTATTGATGTGTTGTTTTGCCAACAAATACCGCGGGCTACGCTCTGGCTTGATCAAACAACGGACTACAACACCAATCTTCGAGCATCACTTCGATTGCCTTGTCTACTCGCTCAAAGAGAAACTACTTTGTTCGTGGGACGTAGAAAAACGGCCTATCACACTCATAGTACTTCATTCACAATGACGCCTGCAGCACTGCCCATTATCAGCTAACAATTCGGGGAGAGGAAGCGTGATTCGCAAGCTGCTCTGACTATGTATGCACAACAACCGCCTCCACACTCATATGATGGCTTTCAAATACACGCCGCCACTGGAAACATACTAGCCAGACGTAATTGTGCGGTGTCCCTTTCAGAGTTAAAGCGGTGTTCAAGGCTTTGATGGTTCCAAGTCATGCCCAGCATCGACGACTTGCGCCGGAGAGATTTGAAGTGTATATAATGCGTCTTCTGTTGCTCCACTTCTCTGCATCAATCACCTCCTCCACTGAATTCTCTACCCGACAGACGATCCCCACGACCAACTTCTACAAACACCATTCAAATCAAACATACCTTACTCTTTGCTCAAAATGTCTTCACCTACACAACAGGTGTCTTCACCTACACAACAGGCGTCTTCACCTACACAACAGGCGTCTTCACCTACACAACAGGAAGCGACACCGGTCACCAGTGCGACACCGCTCACCAGTAAGCCACTGCCCGTGTCGTACATACATGGCGCCGACCCCCATTTGGAACATACTGACCTTCGAAATGCAGGGGTCCGGCTCAACTGTCAGACTCCCAATGACGGCATGCCTGAGGTCGATGCATATGACCGCGAATTCACGCACGTATCACCACGGGAATTTCTTCTCGCTCCCGGAGCGATTGTGCCCTTCGGTTCGTTGGACCCTGTAGAGATCGAGCAGGGCCTCAGGCCTGCAAAAGACAATCTTTACACCTACAATCCAATCCTCGATTCTTGTCATGCGGAACTCACGACCGGTAAATACCGCTCAGTGAGTGCCCCCCCGCCACCCCACGCTTGTATGTACAACACACACAACCATAAGCGCTAACAGCATCCTCTTTCCGCGCCGCAGAGCATCTTCTTGAGGGACCTTGGCTCCTCAACCGGTACGTATGTCAACCATATGAGACCAGGAAAAGGCAAGAACGAGTACAAGCTGCTAAAGCCCTACAAGAGCATGGAAGTCGAAAGCGGGGCTCTGATCCAGTTCGGCAGAGACCCTTACATCGTTAGGATGAACGGGCAACAGATAGTGTGCCGGCCGCCTTCATGGACGCTCATTGTTGAGCCCTACGATCCGGAATTCGATAAGAAGCTCAAAGAGTCAATGGACAAGAAGGTTCGGGAACGAGAGGAAGCGAGTCAAAGTTCCAGTGCTCTACCATCGAGCGTGGGAGGGGGCTCTACTCGTTAGGTGCTGCTGCTTCATTTCACTCTTGTGTTTTCTTTGCTTGTAGGAGGTAATGGTGGCTTCATGACTGGCGTTTGTGGCGGGGTCCATGATTGGCGTTTATGGTGGGGTCGATGGCTTACGAGGTTGATGAAGGGATGACGCTGTGGCGGAAGCATACCAGTTTGGAGTCTGATTTACATCCTAGAATGACCAAATATTACTCCACAACCATTGATTTAAAAGCTGAAGAGAGAGAAACTTTACGTGCAGATGTTGGCTTCGGCGACCTACATAGGAACCACTCGCTTAGAGCCCGCACCCACCATCAAGACCACAGAAAGCCACGGATGAGGGTACGCACCGACCGCGGTTCCTCCACCTGGGGAATTTCATCCCCGTCTCTGAGCGGAAGATCTGCTGCTGTATGCACGGACGGATATTGACGGAGGATGTCCGTGTCAGTACAGCTCAGGTCTTCATGGGGGACTGCACCACATGCACTCATGCCTCGTATCCCTGCTTGGGTAGAGTTTCCTGGATCCATCTCAGGTTTGCGTAAAGAAATCGATATCGGAGAATCGTAGCCAATGCGTCGGTGGTCCGATTGTGGTGTACGGCATGCGGTGAAGTCGCTGATTCGGGGTGGGGGTCTTTGTCGACTATGAGAGATTGGAATATCAAAGCCTTGATCTTGCACAATAGCAGTGTTGTGAGTCCGAGCGTTGCCAACACTGGCAGTGTTCCAAGCATTTCCTCCACCACTACGTGTGACTGGGAATTTTCTCGACATTTCTACGCATCATCTGCTCGTGCAGCAGTCCATCCCGCTCTCTCTCTCTCTCTCTCTCTCTTTTTATGGCGTCTACGAAGCAGCTCGTGGATTTCCTCAGTACACCACTACTATCAAATAAAAGTTCCCCACACGCGCCACAGATTCAGGCTGGTCACCCACCCAGCCGCAAATTCGTCGCGGCGAGGCTGCGGCTGCTGCTGTTGACGATGTCACCCACCAGAGCGCAAGACAGGCGAACCGACACTGATGCTACCGCTTTCACGCGGTGGCGGCCATGCGGTGCGCCGGCTCGTAGTTACCCGCCCAAGCGCAAGCCTCGACGCGGCTGAAGACATTACCGTCACCACGCCGACCAATACAACCTCTTCCACGTGTCTGTCCTTCACGACCGACCACGCCGCCGCTCGTCCCCCATGCCGTCAGCGCTATGCGCCCTCCTCGTCAATCCCGCGAGCGAAGCACTGGCAATTGTTGGCTCCGCCGCACTACACACAAACACACGGCCCAACGCCATCCCGACGACCAGCTTCTCTCCTGCCGCCGTCTGCCAGCAAACTTCCTCCTCCCGGCAGAGACCACAGCACCGGAATCATACCATGGAACAATCGATGAGGGAGCGGGTCCATCGCCCCAAGATTGAGGGTGCCCGTAGCGTAGCCATGTCCCTGGTGAGCTCGAGATGGTAGACCGCAGCGCTGCGTGGACAAATACGACCCCGCTCTGAGCCAGCGTTGGCACTGCGTGTTGTTCATCCAGCTGCGTCTCGATGCTCGTGACCTGTGGTGTGGAGCACCTGACCTTCGCTACGGTGGATATGTGAAATCACCGCTCGACTTCCTTTGTCCTTCCACCGCACTCGGATACCCCGTCTCTTCGTGGTTTTCTCGCCTGGACGTGTAAAATGCGTATGTCTCCTGGTCTTCCATCTCATCGTCTTTTTCTGATGCCATCATTGGCATCCGCTGCCCTCCTACCGCGCTAAGTAGAATCCACCTCGAGCCAAGGAAAACTAAACGCCGCCGCCTGCTGCGTGGATTCGTCTCAATCGATCGTGGACTTCGCGGACAAGAGCGGCGCTTGGGGTTGTCATTCTGCCGTCGATAGACTGGAGAGGTGGTGGCCTCTGTGAGCGGGGTGTCGTCGGGATACATGGAGGAGGAGTTGCTGGTGGGCGGCGAAGGGGCGTGGTGGGTAAGCAGCTGGGAGGTTAACAGGGTCTATGGAGGGACTGGAGGAAGGGGGCAGTGTGGTAGGGTAGAGAGTGGTAGTGAGAGGATCGAGAAGTTTGGAGGAGTGAATGGAGAGAATGTGAAGATACGTGGGGTGGTGGGGCCTCGGATTCCAGAACTGAGGTGCCTGGGTAGAAGGATCAGCTCCTCATTCAGCGGAGCCGTCGATGCTGTGGAGTGTGGACCATTGCATTTCTCGGTGAGAAAGCCGACCCAGCGGTTCCGGGTGACAATCTTATAATCTGTAAGAGTAGTAGCGTCGTGCGTGCCGCTCACAGGTCCATGCATGGTTAACAGCAGCGCATCGTCCTCAGTCATGTTGTGGGCTGCGATGAGGCCGGGCTGCGGATCTATCGGGGTAAGACATTGTAGAGGTGAGATGTTGTCTGGGTGAGATGATGCCGGGGTAAGATGGCGTCGGGGTGTGGAAAGAATCCAATTCGGCATCAGCGATGACGGATGTGGTGGGTGCGAAGATGGAAGGCACGCTGGTCTCGGAAGGAACCAGGGAGTGCGCCTGCCGGATTTGGATTCACTTCGCGCAACGACGCGCACAAGACGGGGTTCGAATGTTCTAGTAAGCAAAAGCCCGCCGGCTGAAGAGCTTCCTCAGTGACGTCATTACAGATGAATGTGGCAGCTGCCACTGGCTGTGTTGCCTCCTACCGCATCACTTAAATAGAGCCGCGCCCTCCTCTTTTTGTTTTCTTTCTCATACTCTTCCTTCCCAACCGCATTCAAAGTAAACTTGCTACCTCCTCTTGCCCGCCCCCCAGCATCCTCGTCACTCGCCTCTGCCGCCGGCCTGATCTTTTCGTCTTCGTTCTCACTGACGGGCGTAGATACTTCATGCTCGTTGTCACTCTACCTTGTCCCTTCATTTCCTCGACCCCATCGAAACATTGTACCCTCACTCTCAGGCCTTTGGTCAACCGAGTCGCTGCTACTACGCAACTGGGCGGAGAGCAGGCCGGGGGAGGCTCACATTTGTGTGGCACGTTCGAGCCCAGCCAACCTCCATCTGTGGTGTGTGGGCGTGAGTCGGACTGGAAGACCCATCTGGAAACTACCCGGCCGTCCTGTCCACGACTTGACCGCTGCGCAACTCCGATGGACCATCTGCACCTCCGAGGGCGAGATGGTGGCGATTTGGCTGCACACCGCTTGGTCGGGAGAGTGAGGGGACATCCTATCGAGTCAGGGCTGCTCTACAAAGCCTGGGTGGGTGGGCATCCTGCTTCGGCAGGGGTCACCATCGAGTCGAGTAAGTGAGCCCCCCATTTTTTCGCCTTTTGGTTAACCCTGAGTCGGAGCTGCTCAATGGAACCAAAGCTCGGGTGGGTGGGGATCCCGCTTCGGCGGGGGACATCACCTTTGAATATAGTAATGAATTGCTTTGAACTTCGCTTGTTTCTTGTGATTTTATGTATGCGTGCGACGGAGAGTGAAGCATGGGAAGAGAGCGTAGGTGCCAGCATCCCTCGTCGCGTCCTGTGGTGGACTCTGAGGAACACCAGTCACGTAAGGTACATTAACTTCAGCTGCCGTGCGTACGTCTTGACCATGTGACATGCACGTTTGACCTGCGGTGAGAGTAAAGGGAAACAGGACCGGTCTTGCTATTTGGGCCAAGATGGGTGAGGGTGACACTGGGTGGGCGGACGCGTGATCGGTCGTAAATTTCATAATTCTTGAGCGAGGATGAGTCGGAGCTGGCGGCTCACACGGGTCACATAGTGGGCAGCTGGAGCGAACTTTCCAATAGAGATGTATTCTGAGCTGTCATACTTGATGGGGTAGTTTGAAATAAGACCCAGAGGTAAGATAGACCAAACACACTTGGTCGTTGGATCCCACTACCTATGGAAACCCATCTAATAGTACAAGCGCAACGTTCCTCCAATCATGTAGTACCTGAGCGCCTCCTTGTGGAACTCGTCGAGACTCTTCAGCACGTCAAACGCCGCGTACTCATTGCCCCTCTGCTCACCCATGCTCTTCAGCCACTTCGACGCACACTTGTGAAACTCGCCCATGTGCAGGTTGGACGCGTCGAACCGCAGGCTCTTGAGATTGGTGACGGTGGCGAGGGTATCGAAGAAGAGAAGGGCATCGCTCTTGTTCTCGGGCAGGGCCTCGCCCACCTCGATGGTCGTGATCCAGCCCTTGGCCTTCGCATCGGCCCCCAGTCCGCGAAGGAACATGTACATGGCGAACCAGGTCGGGAAGTGGAACGTGTTGTGGCCCCAGAAGATGGGGCCCGCCTCGGTACGGCGCTGCTTGTCGACGAGGAGCAGGTTGAGGCTGGTGGCGGGGCGAGGGATCTGGGTCGAGCCCTTGTCGTAGGTCTCCACCCGGTGCGGCTTCATGGGGCCCTTCTCGGTGATGGTCGTCTTGATGGGCGTGGGTGAGACGAGGGCGAATTCGTACACGAGGTTCTTGAGCTCGTTGGGGAGGTCGTGCCAGTTGAACGGGTCGACTTTGGCCGGCTGGCGTCCCTTCACCTTGCGGGCGGGTGAGGTCGCGTTCGAGGCCTTGCGTCGTTTGTCACTCGGCGACAGGGTGGCGGCCCTCTTGCGCTTCTGTGTGAAGGGAGTGGTCAGCGGGGAGAACGAGTGAGATGGGATTGGCGTCGGACGCGTGTCGTACCTTGGAACTGTAGCAGAGTTCGCCTCCAGGCTGGTAGTCCTGCTCGTCTTCATCGTTCCTGTCACGAACTGGAGTCTCTGTCTCTGCGTCACGGTAGCAGACGCGACCGTTGCGTTGGACTCGAGGGGAACGGCGGGCGGTCATGTTTGCTGAGTGGACTCGTAGAATGAATTGGTGAGCGTCTCGTTGTGCTGAGTGAAGCAGAGGTTCTCGGCGATGCAATGTGACGGTGGGTCAGTGACCGGAGTCGACAGGAAGATAGATGGAGGCGCTTTGAGCTGAGCCGCAGTCTCAAAGACGGAGGTTTGATGGTAGTAAGAGAGAGGAGGGAAAGAAGAGGTGGTGGGTAAAAGTAGTCGGGAGGAATGGAAACCGCCAAGCACGAACAATAGCAGCCGAAAAGCGGGTCCAAGGCGGCAGTGTTACAGCCCGTGGTGTTGTTCAGTCGAAGTGAAGTGAGCCGGCCGATCCCACCCAACGCTCTCTCCCGCAGCCAGTCAACCAGGGCAAACAGTACTACGCCTGCAGCGTAGAAATTCGTGCTGAACAGGTGTCATGGCACTGAAGGACTGTCTACCCGGCGCGCGGCTCATGGGTCGCATTGTTTCGGGTTGAGGTGGTGACGTCATCTGTCACGAAAAAGTGAAGGGGCCGGTCGGGTGGTGTTCACCTGGTCACGTGCTTGCTTTCTGGACACGAAACCGGGCGCGGTGAACGCCGACCGCGGGGAGCGCGCCCTCGTCCCACTTCGACCGTGTTTGTCAGCAACATCAACAGACCCTGGCGAAGCTCACCATCCAACCCATGGCTCCATCGGCGTCCGTTTTCTGTCCGTCGGTCATCCGATCGTCCGGCTCGGGTACGTGTTCATCCGTCATCTTTGTCATATTTAACAGTGGCGCCACGCATTGCTGACGCTTTATTGGCTCTCGTTTTCACCCCACTTCCCACTCCTGGTCCTGCGAACACGGCTCAGGTAAGCACAGGCTGAGCCCGATCAAATCACGCAATACCGTCAGACAGTATAATATCAGCACCAGCCGTTTAGCTTCAACAACCCTACAGACCGACCATTTCACGCCATGGCTGCACCAACGAACCTAAACATTCCCGCCTCGGATGCGACCGTCAGCGTCAGCATCATCAACACCGGAGCCAGGATCCGCCTGCCTTTGGCCGGCTTCATGGAGCCGCCAATCGAGGGCCACACTCATCTAGATGCTCCTGCCTATTCCTTCCTCATCGAGCACCCGCAGCACGGCAAACTGCTCTTCGATCTATCCATACGTAAGGACTGGAAGAACCTCGCGCCGGCCATTGTGGGTCAAACCGACGGCGATGCCCTCATCGAAGTGGAAAAGGACGTACTCGATGTCCTAGAGGAGAATGGAATCGCATCCACCGAGATCAAGTCCGTCATCTGGAGCCACTGGCACTGCGATCATATTGGAGACTCTTCCCGACTCGCCAGCTCCACCGAGCTGGTCCTCGGCAAGGGTTTCCTGGACGCCCTCACTCCAGGATACCCCGTAAACCCCAACAGCCCGTTCTTAGAGTCCGACTACAAGTACGCTTCGAGCCAATCACGCCCCGCTCCGATGGTATGAACTAACCCCACACCACCCCCAGGGGCCGAAAAATCCGCGAGATCGACTTCTCCACGCACCCCAACCGCCTCCAGCTGGGCCGCTTCGACGCCATCGACTTCTTCGGCGACGGCAGCTTCTACCTCATCAACACCCCCGGCGTACGTCCCACCCGCTTCTCCTCTCCCTCCCTCCCTCCCTCCACTAACACAAACCCCCCCAGCACGCCCTCGGCCACGTCTGCGGCCTCTCCCGCACGACTCCCACGACCTTCATCCTCACCGGCGGCGACGCCGCGGGGCACCACGGCGGCGAGCTGCGCCCCTCGCCCTACCTCCCGCTCCCGTCGCATCTCTCTCCCTCGCCCTTCTCCCTCCCTCGCCCCTTCCAGCCCGGCACCGCCTGCCCGGGCTCGCTCCTCGAGCAGCGCATCCAAGCGCCGCGCGGCCGCGACCCCGGCGCCACGACGCCGTTTTACAAACTCGCGCCGACGGGCATGCCGGACTTCGAGCTCGACGTGGCGCAGGCGACGGTGGATTGGCTGGCGGCGTTTGATGGGGACGAGCGCGTCTTGGTGGTCACGGCGCATGATGCGAAGTTGAAGGGGGTGGTGGAGTTTTTTCCCAAGACGGCGAATGCGTGGAGGGAGAGGGGGTGGAAGGCGGAGGGGTTGTGGAGGTTTTTGGAGGACTTTAAGGGCGCGGTGGGGGAGGAGGGTGGGGATGATCAGGCGGCGGGAGGGGTGTAGGGATCGTTGGTGAGGATGGGGCGGGGGCTGTGGGCGATCGGTGGGGCTCGGTCTTGTTTCGTCATGTGCTGTTGTTTCCCTCGAAGATTTGGGTCTTTGGATTGGTTGGAAGATGGAATTAAACGTGGCAGATAGAGTATATGCAAAGAGGTCTTTCGCTTAGGTAACTGCAGCCCCTTGGCGAATTGCACTGGAATACCTACTGCCATGTACAAAGAACATCCCTGCATATCTCTGACCTCAGCACTACTATTTCTTATAGTGAGGCAGAGCGGGTGCCATCAGAAATCAACCTACGGCGATCCTTCGTGTGGGCAGTGGAAGCAAGTGCACCGACATAGATGTAAGTTTCAACAACCTTTTTTCATTAGTAGCCAAAGCAGATATCCCGGTGTCGATGCGTGTTGGGCCGATACAAATGCATCGACTAAGAGGATGGGTTAATTTCTTTGGTCACCTACTGTGGAGGTACTACGATCGAAACGAGGGTGATCTACTAGCACGTTCGGCCCTCGGCTATTAGGCTGCGGGGATTAACAATTGTGGAGATCATTCACAGGGAATCCTTACAACCAAGTGGGGTTCAGGAAAGTCCGCGCTCGGCCGAGAGAAGCGGTGTGAAGATATAAGCCTTCTGAAGAAGCTTGACTGCACACCCAAAGACAACCGCCGTCAACATGCTGCTCGACACAAAGGTCAACCTCACTACCGACAAGCTGGTGTTTGCAGGACCAGCTCTCGTTGCTATATTCTTCGTTTTCACTTGTGTCTACCGCCGTTACTTCTCACCGCTTGCCAAATACCCCGGCCCCTTCTGGGCGAGCGTGACTGATCTCTGGTTGGTGTGGCTGCACTTTCAACCGGACCACCACCACAGACTCGTCAAGCTGCACAACCAATATGGTCCGGTGGTCAGGCTGAAGCCCAACAAGCTGTGAGACTCGGCAATCATGTGTTTTGCGGCCACGCTAATGGCTTTCCCAGGAGCATCTCATCTCCCGAAGCGTTTAGGATCATATACGGTAGTGGCATGCTCCACCCCAGCATGGGGGAAGTCTAATCGTGTGTTCAACAGGCGCCGGGAACGGGTTCCCCAAGAGTGATTTCTACAGCGTATTTGCAGGAACACGGCCATTCGACCTGTTCGCGCAGCAGGATGAGCGTATCCACGGACAGCAGCGTCGGCTTGTCGCCACTGCCTATACACTGGAGACGATGAAGAGCCTCGAGCCGTATGTCAACACAACCATTCACGTGCTGCTGGACAAACTGCGCGAGCTCGGCGCCAAAGGCGAGCCATTTGACATTGCCTACCTGCTCCAGCTCTTCGCCTTCGGTGAGTCTTCTCCTTGATCCAACATATTCATCTCCACCCCCGAACTCCCACTCACATCTCCAACAGACATCATCGGCGAGCTCAGCTTCGCCAAACGCTTCGGCTACACGGACGCCCTCTCCGACTTCGGCACCTTCTCCCAAATCAGCGCCGCCCTGGCCTCTGGCGCCCGCGTCGGCGAGGTGCCCTGGTTCTACCGGCTGCACCAACGGCTCGCTCCCTACATAGGCAACCACCTCGCCCTCGCCGCCCGCAACGGCGCGCTGCACGACTTCACCCTCCGCGCCATGGCTTCCCGCAAGGACCGCATGACGCCGAACGACGACGACAACAACGAAAGCAACCACGGCGACATCCTCTCCAAGCTCCTCGCCGCCAGCGCCCAAAAGCCCCAACTAACAGACCAATACATCGGCTTCGCGCTGACCAGCAATGTCGTCGCCGGCTCCGACACGACCAGCATCTCGCTCTGCGCCATGCTGCTGCACCTGCTGCGCCCTTCGTCGTCAACCCCGTCCGCCCCGTCCGCCCTATCCCGGCTGCTGCGCGAACTGCGCGACAAGGTCGACGCGGGCGAGATCCCCGACCCCGCGGCCGACCCGCACGCCGTGGTGCCGCAGCGCGTCACCGAGCGCTGGCCCTTCCTGCAGGCCGTCGTCTACGAGGCCCTGCGCTTGCATCCCGTCGTCGGTTCGCTGCTCGCACGCGTCGTGCCGGCGGGTGGGCTGAGTTTTGATGGCGGTTGCTTTGTGCCGGCTGGGGTGAGTTTGTTCGTGGTTGCGTGGCCCGCCGCCCCCGCGGGTGTTGGGGTGGATGGATGCTGATGATGCTTGTGCTTGCAGACGGAGGTCGGGACGTCGGCCTGGGTTATTCATCGGGACGAGAGCATCTTTGGGCCGGATGCCGATGCTTTCCGGCCCGAGCGCTGGTTGGATGAGGGGAATAAGCAGAAGATGCGTCAGTGTGCCTGTGTCTTGTTTGGATAACTTGGAGCTGTGCTGAGTGAGATGGTGCTGCAGATCGCTTTTTCTTCGCTTTTGGTGGCGGGTCGAGGACGTGCATTGGCAAGAGTGAGTGCTGTTGTGTGCTTGGAGTTTTGACTGGTGTTTTGGCTGACCACCCTTTCACTCCAGATATCGCCATGCTTGAGATGAGCAAGGTATGGCTGAGGCTGTGGCTGGAAGCTGGGAGAAGAAGATTCAAGCTGCTGATAAGACATAGGTCCTGCCCACGCTGCTTTTGCATTTTGACTTCAGGCTTGCCGACAAGAATGAGCATCCCAAGGATACATATACGTAAGGATATTCATCATGTGAGGGAGGGTTGAAGCTGACTTGAGCAAGTAACCTGGTCTCCCTCAAACCATTCCACGTGGTCGCCCGCCGGAGGAACATTCTGCAAGAGGCGTGAAAGGGGAAACAGAGGTCGATATCATGGATTGGGGATAACTGGCCTTACAATCTAATCGGTGCAGCCGGTAGTCTACGCTAGAGCTGAGGGATAGTTTTGGGTGGCGTCGATCGCATTAGATAAATTGAGCATGTCCGGGAGTAAAATGGAATTGGCAAAATCATTGCATGCTGTGACCTATGCGCGATGAACTCAGAGTATGAGTGATACGAAATGATGTTTCTCTGAAAGTCACTAACACAGATATCCATGTGCAAATTGTTCCCACTGGATCCAATCCTCATACTCCCTGCTCTCGGCCTCGAAAGAACACACTGAATGATGCGTTCCTCAACCACTATAGTCTGCGTTCGACACACCAACATGTCGTCCAATATCCTCCAACTCCTCGGCGCTCGGAGGTCTCTCAGGTGGTATCTGCTGCTCTGAATGCTCATTAGACGAAGTATCCCGAACCTCATTGACACCACGCCCAGGGTCCAACTTCGTAGAAGCCGCCAGATCGTACTCCTTTGTAATGCCGGGAGACGCTCCGGGGTTCTCATTGCTTTCACCGGCGAGCAGATTGTCGAAATGCGTCGGTGGTGCCTCCAGCCGTGGATGTTCCGGATTCGCGAGGTTAAGCGTGGCCAGCCTCTCGCCGTTGTCGGTGTAGGGAATGGCTTCCGCGCCATGGTGCCAGGTTCCCACGCCCAACCCCTCGTGCGCCATGCGTTGCAGTTGCAGCGTCTCGTTCGCACACCACTCGAGACGCGAGTAGTTGTCGAACCTGCGGCGCTTTTGGATCCAGCTGGCGAGAGGTTCGATTGTGTAGGAGAAGACGATGATGATGCAGCCGACTATGAAGGTGAGACAGAGACCGAAGGTGTTGAAGCTGGTGTAGGCGGTCGTTACGATTTTCTGGACCATGGACGGACCGAATTAGAACATCAAATTATTTCCGTAATCCGGGAGGGAGTGGATGATCCTGTGCTTACCTGATTTCGACAAATGGATCTTTCTACCTCATTCTTTGGAGTATCAACCCAAGCCATCATCTCTGGGTTCGAGGGACCCGTGGCATACAAGACCATTGATCCTTGCATGTAGGCCAACCATACCGTGAACCAGTATTCGACATCTATTTGCCACTGGCCATTTGGAAGAGGTCCCTGAACTCCGTAGGTGAGCCCATATCTTGCAGTCAACCCAGTTATTCCCAGATTCATTATTACTTGAGCTATATCGCTATCCAAAACAGGTAAGTACCACTCAATCATTGCCTCCTGTGTGCGACTAAGCCGAAGATTGGTAATTCCACCAAATGCATCCCCCATTGGACCCAAGGCGGTACACTGTTTATCCGAGGGTAGGTTGGGATTACAGAATTGGTATTGGGAGACGCATGCTAGAGGTGACGCTGGCTCATCCCCGGCATATGTACTGATGGTTCCGGTTGCTTGGATAGTCCCTACTTCGAGTAACTCGGAGTGTGCTGAATACCAAGGGTCGTCTGTCTCTTTCGCAAATGCCACGAAGTTGGACGATAAAAAAAAAATTTTAATGTCGCCATCATAGTAACGAAGCTCTGGGATGGGATCGAAGGTAGAAAAAGCATCCAGTGACTGGTTCCGGTACAACGCGGACTGGATACTAGAATTTGTAAGTGGTCTTTGTTAGTTTACTAGCGAAGAGGAAGGAACAAGTACCTGAGAGTATAATCTTGAAACGGACCGGTAAAGTTCTGGTCTAGCCACTCTTGAAATGATGAAATAGGGTACTCGTAAGTGTAGTTGTATGGAGACCTTAGCTCCCCATAGTAGTACCTCACGTACCGCGATTGCGTGCCTTCCGAGGCGTACGTGTACGGCTGCTTGTAGCCTTGTGTGGCCAAAGGTGCGCACCTGAGTATATGCCTGAATTTGAACCGTAGCTCAGGAGGGTCATTATGTCCCAGGTGCTCGTTGCTATCGATATACCCTGTGTCGATCTCGAGATTTCCGAACTCTGTCTGACAAATATCTCCTCCAAATGGACAGCTTGCGTTCCTTTTTGTCGAATATGGAAGCTTCAGCTGGACGTATCTTTGGCATTCCGCCGGATTAGAACTGTTTTTGTAACAAGTTTGGGCGAAGTTGGCCCACTCCACCACTTTCTCGTGTACAAAGGGTTGGTAGACGGTGTCTAATAGTGTTTCATTAGTATTGCCGTCTGTATAAAGTTGACCACATGAAGGGCCGGAGATGAGGACTTGTGATGCCGTCGAGGTTGCGATCTTGGAGGAGAAGATGCCGGCAACGGCGAAGCAGCCGAGGCAGGTGATTGTGAACAGCAGGAGTGGGACCATGCGACGATGTGCGTGAGGTGTCTTGTCTCGCCAGACCCAAGCCATTTGCGCAAGGGCCCAGAGTCCGCTTATTCCGTTGGCAGAGTTGCGGAGAACTGCTTGTCGTTGATGATGAACCCCATCTCGGGGAGCTTCAGACGAGCAGTAATGGTGAATGAAGAAACATGACAGTCTCCAAAAAGCTGTGCCGGTCCAAGTGATGAAGAGTGCGATTAGGGAGATCAGGAAACCACCGTCGCGGCGGGTGAGGGTGATGGTGCCCCCAAGGATTCGACCATCTGACCAGTTGATCCACGGACCGGTGTGGATGCCATAATAGTCTGCAGTGCTCGAAGGGGAGGTCGTACTCATGTTTTGCTAGCGTTGGGATGAAAACAAGTGAGTGGAGACAAATGTTCCAAGAAGATCTCATGCGCAAACGCCGAGGTTTGAGCTCTGTTAAAGGAACCAGCGTTGGTATTTATCAGGTTGCATGACCCCCAAGATACTCCAAAGATACCTTGATAGCTGCCCGATACAAGGGAGCTGCGATAAACAACGCATGGCCTTGACTTGTAAGGCGAGCACACCCTCAGCTGAAAGCCTCCTCACCAATGTGGTCTGTTTCCAGGTTTCGGAACTGTCCACACTTCGAAGCTGTGATACTTGAGCACAAACATGGGCGATGGCCCCAAACTCAATTCCGGAATCTCGCGGAACGAAAGGCTAGAGAGGATATACATCTCACAAATGGAGGCAGCATTTTTCTTGTTGTGCACAGCCTTACATACTACAGAAACTCACTCGGGAGGTGACGCCAGGCACCAACTTGGAATGTGGGCATTCTTGCATAACTGCATAGTGTACAAGGGGCGGAAGCCTGAACACACCACGGAATGCGTGCGATCATCGGTTTGGACTACTGCCTAGCACTAGGCACCGAAGAGGCCGCACCTTTGTGTGTGTCGAGGAGAGGGCTGAGGTGAGGGATGGGGCGGCCTCCGTTGTTCGTGATACATCAACTACAACATTGATTCGCTAAACAAAGCAAGGCAGTGCTTATGTGGTGGAGGGTGCAAGTTACCTTGAAGGAACTAATCACCTGGAAGAATATCCATATGCCCGAAAAATGAGGAAAATACATTCCGTACAAACAAGCTGAGCTATAGGGGCCACGCTGCACAGGTTCGGCGTACCCAGGCTGCAAGATGAGACACGTAAGTAAGGAGCACAAATGAGTAATGCCGCAGCGATAGAAGCCATCTGCAACAGCATCTACGCCTTCTTTCAAAGCCAAATGGTTCGCACTTCAGCCTCTCCCAAGTCTTTTGTGCAGGAACGGTGACTCTCTGCCGAAGCTGATTGAGACCCGGCAGTATTGCGTGTTAATCAGTGATAGGGTAGAGCTATTGCGACACTTCATCGCTGGTCATTACGCATGAATGGATGGGGAAGAAGATCCTGTGCAACATCCCACACTGCTATCCAGCGGACACGGGTCGCTCTTGACAATTTTCCTCGTAGATGTCGATAAGCCCTCAGATCTCGTCGCTAGAATGAACGGACGCAGGTGAGCTATCATCCATGAACTATACTTAGCAAGGTAGAGATTGTTGCTGGCTAGCGGGCCAGAGAAAGCTGTTGTCGCGCGGGACCTCCTCCTTCTCCTCGGCGGTCAAACGCGGCTAATGGAATTAAGCTTATCAATAGCCCAGTTTTTAATTATAGTCGCAAGACCCTTCTATCTTGACAACCAAAGCGGAGACAAGTCTAAACGTCTCAACGGATGCTGTAAGTTGTTTTTACTTTACGCTCTCCTACTCACTCTTCAAGTAGCCCTGTCAACAAAAAGAGCTGTTCATCAAGTAAAATTGATCTTCTCCACACTCTCCTAAGTATTTGGACTACCCGAAATGGCAACTCAGTAAGTAAACCCATTAGTAAAGTTAAACAAGTTGCTCGGGTCCCACGTGCTCTTGATCGACTCCAGCTTGGGCAGTTTCGCCGCCGTGTACCACGCGTCGCGGCCCTCGTCGCCGTGAGCATAATTGACGTATACCTCAAGGCCCTTGTCGCTATTCAGCTCCACCCACACCGCACGCCTCTCCAACGCAAAATCCGAGATGGCAGACGTCTGATCGTCCGTCGAGAAGCCGCTGAAACTCATAAACCTGCGGCACGCGTCAATCAGCACTTGCACCGAGCCACGGGTGAAAACGAAAGCAATCGCACTCACAGGTATGCCAGGGTATTTCTGTACGGATACGCGGTCGCGTCGTCGGCCGTCTGCAGGGTTACTTTGGTCGGAAACATCTCGACAACCGTGTACGAGGTGGTGAGGCCGGTGGCGGCGTAGAAGGCGACGTAGGCGTCCAGCGCGGCCTGGTGGGTGGCGACGTCGTACTCGTAGAGGTTCAGGCCGTAGGCGGCTTGGTTGGCGCCGGCGATGCAGCCGAGTGCGTCGGCGCCGAAGCGGTTCTCGTGGATGAGCCTGTTCCACGGGATCGTCGTGACGTTGGACTGCAGCGACGTCGCGTCGAGGAAGGGCGCGATGACTTCCCTGCCCTCGGCTTCTGCGCCCGCGTAGACGGCGTTGACCATGATTACGGTCTGCGGAGTGGGTTAGCGGTGCGTGGGGGGTGGTGGAGGGATGGTCAGCTGACTGAGTTGAAGGTGCTTGAGTATTGGATGGCGGTTGTGAGGGACAAGGCGTCGGGCTGGTTGCCGGCAAAGTCCTTGAGGATCTGGAAGATGGTGGCGTTTTCGCTGGCGGGGAAGAGGAAATCGCCGTTCAAGGCCGATCCGCTGTTGGTCTGGTCATGCAGTGTATACGTGGCGGAGGTGATGATCCCAAAATTCTGGCCGGCGCCCTTGATGCCCCAGAACAAATCACTGTTCTCAGACGCAGATGCATTCACGATGTCGCCCGTGCCGGTGACGATGGTGACGGAGTCGAGGGCGTCAATGATCAGGCCATGGAGACCCTGGTATGGACCAATGCCGCCGCCTAGTGTGGCACCAACCATGCCGACACAGGAACATGATCCAGTTTCTAGAGAAAGTATTAGTCAGTGCTCGGTTGCGGGGGATATACAAGGGGTCCAGACGGATTTCCTTTCCAGCTGCGAAGACAGGATCAAGAATGTCACCGAACGTGACTGCTCCGCCGATTGTCATGGTGCTTGCCGACTCATCAACAGAGACAGAATCAAAAGCACTGAGGTCAAGATTGATGCCGTTCTGCAGGGCGCTGGTCGTTGTCGTATAGCCATGCCCGCCACCGGTGCCCAGGAAAGGGATGCTGTTATTCGACGCATACTTGATCTGCAGCACTTTGATTAGTGTTTGCTTTCGTTGAATATAAGGGAAGACGTACGATGGTAGAGACGTCCTCCGCAGTGGCAGGCTTTACTCCCACGATGTAACTTGGGGCATCGTATGCATTCCATCTCTCGGTCAAGTCACTAGCATAGGCCGAGTCACTGGGAAGAAGGACTTCGGAGCCAGAGGAAAGATTGTCCTTGAGATAGGCCTGAATGGTTGCCGCGTCAATGGCCGAAGCCAAGTTGACAACGGAGAGTAGAGAAAGAATGAGTGCGGCAGCCATGTTCAAGAACGCCCGCCTTGCAGAGCCTTCTGGGCGAGATGGCGGTTTATGAGCGCCTGATGAGCAGAAGCGAAATTGCTGCAGAAGGATGATGGCGGGAGCTGAGCGGAGAGTGCCGAATGCTTGTATCTAGCCCCGAGTCAGCCAAGGAGCCGTGCGTGGATTGCCGCGTGTTGGCCAGGATTGTTGTCGGGCTAATAATATGCGAGGAGTCAGGACCTTGTTCGGCATCGAGACGCAGCCGCGCCGAATCGCGCGACTGACACCGAAAACAACATATGATGATCAGGCCGCGAGTCCCCAGCTGAAACCTCGTGCAAGCCACTTGGTCGCAAATTGCAATGGGGAAAATCGACGTGCACCACCACATGCTCCCGCCGGAGTATGTGCAGAGTAAGCCGCCGTGCCGCAACCGCCCGCTCGGGAGGCTGACTTGATGATAGAATGGAACGAAGCGTCCGGGATCCCCAAAGGGCTGACACTTCCATCGTGGAGTACTGAGATCGACCTGGAGTTCATGGACCGAAACGGCATCGAGGCTTCGATCCTGTCCCTCAGCGCCCCCGGGCTGGCATTTGTCAAGTCTCCCGACGACGCCCTGCAGCTCTGTCGATGGGTCAACGAGTACGCGGCAAAGATCAAAGCAACGAACCCTTCCCGATTCGGCTTTTTTGCGACCCTACCGCCGCCCGAGCCGGTTGGGCCTTGCATAGAGGAGCTGCGCTACGCCCTCGACGTGCTCGAAGCCGACGGCGTCACTCTTCTGTCCAGCTACAGCGACAAGTACCTGGGCCACCCGGATCTCCGCCCGCTCTGGCAGGAGCTGGACCGGCGCAATGCCGTAGTCTTCGTGCACCCAACCTTTGCCAAAACGTGGGGCGCGTCATCCGACGCCACGATCCCCCGGCCCATCGTCGACTTCCCGCACGAGACGACGCGCACGGCCGTCAACCTCATCACGTCCAACACGGTCCGGGATTTTCCAAACTGCAAGATCATCCTGTCGCACGGCGGCGGCACGCTCCCGTACGTGGCCACGAGGATCGCGAACCAGACGGCGGATCTGGGGCTGAAGGAAAAATCGGCCGATGACTTTCTTCGGGACGCGAGAGGCTTCTACTATGACCTCGCCCTGACCGGCTACGAGGGCCCTGTCGAGGCGGTGGTGAAGTTTGCTGACGAAGGCCATGTTCTGTATGGGAGCGACTTCCCCTTTGCTCGCGAACGGACGATTGTCCCGCAGATTGCAAACATCCAAGCGGCGTCCATGGATGAGGAGACACGGCTGTCGATCGACCATGGCGCTGCAAGGCAACTGTTTCCTCGTTTCTCCAAGTAGGGTTCGAATTTATCTTGTACTTCAGTACACTGTAGTCGTGATAACAATACGAGCCCCCGAGTGATGTATCCAAACCACCGATTCCCCACGGACCACCCCTTGACGACACTGCAAAGAAGGCAAAAAAAAAAAAAAAGAATGCCGTGGAGCTCATTGCGCCATGCCGTAAGCCCGATGTGTCAATGCCACCCTCGCCCTGCGGGGCTCCCTTACGCCACGGTGGAAATAGCCAATTGGTCCTGCAGCCAGTCAGCCAAGGTTGTAACACCACGGATATGGGATCCAACTCACCGGACCACCAAACGGCAGCACAAAATCCGCCGTCTCAGTCACATACGCATACCCCTCCGGAGACTTCTCCGCCCTACCCCTCTGCGCATAAGCCAAGTACTCAGGTGCGCCAGGAAACACGATGTTATCAGCCAGCACGACCGACCCAGGCCTCAACAGCGACTCTTTCTCGCAGATCTGCAAGTCGTCAATGTAAAAGTCCTTCCAGTGATCCAGCAGCACGAAGTCGACCTCCCCCTTGCCCACCACGCCCTCCTTCACCAACCTCCCCAGCGACTCCCCCGCGCTGCCCACGCTGATGGACACGACGTCCCGCAGGCCAGCCAGGTCGCACAGGCTCGCCGCGACGGCCGCGATGATGGGGTTCTTCTCGAACGAGAGGTACCGCACGCGGCGGCCGGTGCCGGCTGCCCGCTTGGCCATGGCGCTGGCGAGGCAGATGGCTGAGTACCCAACGTAGGAGCCAAACTCGAGGAAGGTGGTCGGGGCAGGCCCGGCGTCGCTGTCGTTGCCGGCGAGGAGGCGGGTGATGAAGGCGCGTTTGTCGGCGCCAATGGTCATCAGCCCGCGCGGGATGGTGGCGGCGAAGTCGTCGATGGCGTTGCACACGGCGTCGGGGTCGCCGCGGAGCTGGGCGAGGTCCGGTCGTGCGTAGACGTATTTGAGGAGGGCGAGCTCTTCGGCGCCTTCTTTCTGTGGGGGGAGGAAAGTGGGTGGTTAGTTTCTCTTTTCTGTTTTTTCTGGGCGAGTATGCTGGGGTGATGGGCGTAGGTACGTGGTTTGCGGCAACGGTGGCGTTGAAGAAATTGGAACTGTTGGCGACGGCGGGGGCTGAACCGTCAGCGAGGGCGGCCGTGTCGAAGTAGGTGGAGGTGCCGCCAACGGGCATTGCTGGGGCTTGGGTGGTCAGGGCTGCCATTTTTTTTTCTGGATGGTGGTTCTCTTGCAAGTGGCATATCAGACCTCCGCGCAATTGCATATAAAGCCACTGTCGACAGCCAGCGGGCCGGTCCTTTTCGGCCAGATTCGGCGGAGATGCAGGCGACTCAGCTCCCCGCATCTTAACTCCAGCATGGCGGGCGTTAGTCCCGGACATAAGGGTTATCCCCGATGTAAATATCGAGCCAAGTGTGCAGGCTGCCCGGGAGCTTCTTCAGCAGTCTACTCTCGCCGCCGCCATGGGTTTCGCCACTACCATTCTCCACTCGCAATTCTTCGTCACGCCGCCGTTCCCGTCGTCCGACTTCACCGGCCAGACCGCCGTCGTCACCGGTGCCACCTCCGGCCTCGGATTCGAGGCAGCTAAGCACTTCCTGCGCCTCGGCGCATCCCGCGTCATCCTCGCCGTGCGGAATGTCGCCAAAGGAGAGCAGGCGGCGAAAGAGCTCGCGTCCGCCAAGGCTGCACCCTCTAGCACCATCGAGGTGTGGCAGCTGGACCTCGGCAGCTTTTCGTCCATCAAGGACTTCGGAGCGCGGATCGGGACGCTGGACCGGCTGGATGCCGTGGTGCAGAACGCCGGCATCATGACCAGCCAGTTCACCCTGGTCGAAGGGTGTGAGAGCCAGATTGCAGTCAACGTCATCAGCCCCGTGCTTCTCGGATATCTGGTGCTGCCCAAGTTGCAAGAATCCGCCGCCAAACACGGTACCAAGGGCAGACTGGCCTTCGTGGGCAGCGATCTCCAGTTCATCGCGCCGCTGAAGGAGAAGTCAGTGCCGGGGAGCTTGCTCGACGCGCTCAACTCGGAGAAAACGGCGAGCATGGGCGATAGGTGAGTTTCAGCTCGGAGTATCGCTCGAGGACGTTGCTGATTGAGCCCAGATATGGCGTTTCCAAGCTCCTGCTGCTGTGGGCGGTGCGGGACATGGCCCAGCGCTTCCCCTTCTCCGGCCAGTCCAACGTCGTCATCGCCTGCCTGACGCCCGGCCTGTGCAAGAGCAATCTCGTCCGCGACGACGAGAGCTGGATTGCTGGCGTCATCAGGCGCATGCTGATCGGAATCGTTGCTCGCTCCACCGAGGTGGGAAGCCGCTGTCTCGTGAATGCGGTAAAACCAGAACTTGGCGACGAGTGCCACGGCGCCTTTCTGATGGACTGCAAGCCTTGCCCAGAGTACGTTTCTTCCCACGCCTCCGAGGATGATTGTTTGAACTGACCGGTGCCCGACGCAGCCTGACGGGCAACTCGAACAAGCCCGAGATGAAAGAAGCCCGGAGCAAGTTCTTGGACGAGCTGTCTACGCGCCTACAGAGCATCAGTCCAGGCATTTTTTAACCTTGAAAGGTATAGAGGGGTAGTACGCGGATAGATAACTTGCAAATTGACCGATTCCGAAGCGCGGGCAACTGTGCATCCATAAGAGTGATCCTCGCCCATCGCCCGTGCATCCTGGTCGACACGGCCTGGAACCCCCCTCCACCATGTCCTGGCCTTCCCAAATTCCCTTGGGCGCAGCCGCAGCCGTCCTGGTACGCAGCGCCTTCCCGCTCCCACGCCAGCACCCTAACGTGTCCAGCTCCTCCTTTTCCTCTCCCTCCGCGCCGTCTACCGCCTCCTTCTCCATCCCCTCCGCGCATTCCCCGGCCCCGCCAGCCGAGCAGTATCCCACATCCCACACGCGCTCTCCACACTGAGCGGCCACTTGCCACGCGACCTCACGTCCCTCCACGCCAAATATGGAGAGGCGGTGCGAACCTCGCCCGACATGGTCTCCTTCTCGGCTCCAGAAGCGTGGAACGACATCTACGGGCACAGCACGCGACAGCGGTTCCAGAAATGGGGCATGACGCGCAGCCAGGCAGGCGTGGACCACATCCTGTGCGCCAACGACGCGGACCACGCACGGCAGCGGCGCACCATCAACCACGCCTTCAGCGAAAAGGCGCTGCGGGCACAGGAAGGGATCCTCATGGCCTACGTTGACGGGCTGACGCAGGGGCTGGAGCGGCGGGCGGGCGCCGGGGCGGCGGCAGTCAACGTGAAGGAGTGGCTGGAATGGACGGCGTTCGACATCATCGGGGAGCTGGCGTTCGGCGAGCCGTTCGGGTGCCTGGCGGATGCGCAGTACCACCCGTGGGTGGCGCTGCTGTTCCCCTTCATCAAGGCGCTGTCGTTCTTGGGCGTCGCGCGGCTGTACCAGCCGTTCACGCCGCTCATCGTTGGGTTGATGCCCAAAGACGCCATCCGCCAGCGCATGCAGCACATCAAGCTCTCGGCGGCCAAAGTGCACGCGCGACTGGCCGCGGGCGAGCAGCCGGACCGGTCTGACTTCTGGACGTACATCCTGCGGCACAACGGCGACGAGAAGAAGGGCATGAGCCTGGCTGAGATGGAGTCCAACGCAGGCATCTTCATCACCGGCGGCAGCGAAACCGTGGCCACTGCCCTGTGCGGCATCTTGTACCTATTGGCCAAGAACCCCGTCGCCATGCGCGCCCTGCGGGACGAAGTGACGGCCGCCTTCGCCCGTAAGGAGGACATCGACATGATCGGCGTGGCAGGCTTGAAGGTACTGCACGCCACCATCTGCGAGGGCATGCGAATCTACCCGCCCGTTCCCGCCGGGCTGCAGCGCTTCGCTCCCGCGGGCGGCGCCGTCGTGGCGGGGCATTTTGTTCCCGAAGGAGTACGTCGTCCCGTTCTTGTCCTTCTCCTTCTTCTTCTTCTTCCCCTGACTGACCACCACTTCCAAACAGACCATCGTCAACGTCTCACAGCAGCCAGCCTACCACTCTGCCGCCAACTTCTTCCGGCCCGAGGCGTTCCTGCCCGAGCGCTGGCTCCCCTCTGCGCCACCCGCCTTCGCCAACGACCGCAAGGACGCGTTCCAGCCCTTCAGCACCGGCCCGCGCAACTGCGTCGGGAAGAACCTCGCCCTCGCCGAGATGAAGCTGGTCCTGGCGCGGCTCGTGTGGCAGTTCGGGTGGGAGCTGGCCGACGACGGGTTCGCACTCGACGCGCAGAAGGTGTTCATCATGCGGGAGAAGCCGGCGTTGAGCCTCAGGCTGTGGTTGCGCGCGGACGATGCTGCTGTGGAGTAGTGGTGCCTGGGATATATATACGTCTGAATTACCTCTCCATCTGGATATGTTACTGGCCTTATTGTCGACGTGTCGTGACGTGCTCGTCCCGTGGTGTTGAATGCTTCGTATAACCGCCACTACTACGCATGAATGCATTTTGCCAGAACGCAAAACCTTGCTTTTCCTGATTTCAACGCCATTGCTTCAATATCTCGCTCTCACTCCGTGCCCGTGGAAAGCGTCTGGCGCTCCTCCCTGCCCCATCGACTTCGCCGGGTGCTCGGCATGCGTGAAGGAAGTAATTGCCGAACCAAAGCGCACGAACGTCCAATCAAGTTTTTCACCGAAACTGACCGAAGACCGGCCCGGCCGAACCCGCCCGAAATTACCGAAATTCCCGTACAGACGTTGGCGCCGACGTTGAAAATCCGACGTGCCATAATGGGTGGCCGAAGCAGCTGTCCGGACGTGGATTCGAGCGTCAAAGCTACAGATGCATCTAGATGGAGGATTCCACTGCCGACATGAGCTGAATAATGCATGTAGATCGATGTTGGTGCAAAATCGGCCGGTAATCCCGACACCGAATCGATTCCCGAACGTCACATCACGCTGCCCACGGTAATGGCTGCCATGCACCCGCAGGCGAGTATCAGAGCCCGGACGATTCTTGTAGTTTCTGTCAACGTACGACAGTGTGCTCTCCAGGGTGATGGAGCTGGGTAATGGCTTGGAAAATTGTTCGCCCAACGCCGACTCTCTAATGAATGAAGGCGCTGGGAGCAAAGCCGGTAGCTATTAATGGTAAGGAAATGCGTTGCATAGTTTTCCACATATGTGTTTGTAGGAATTAAACTATAGCCGAAATCGAGTGTATCACCATCTCTTTTCATGTTAAAGTCTTCAATCTGGTTTTTATGTTCCATCGAAGCGTTAACCTAATATACAGAAAGGTAAATATAATAGCACTCACTCAACAACACATTAAACTCCACAACAATAGCAGTAACAATAAAAAAAAATCAAGAAACCCCCCCATCAGCCTCAGACGCCAAAAAAGAATATGGTGTCCCCTACCCTCTACGCCCCCAAATGCCCCAAAAGAAACTCATACCCCGGCGCAACCGTCTCCTCCCACCGCTCGCTGCCGGGCCTCAGCGACACATCATGTATATGCCTCGCCCCCCGCACAGTCAACAAGTGACCCTCCACGCCCGCCCGGCGCAACGCGTCGACAAACGCGCCCGCGCTCGCATACGGCACGATCTCATCCCTCGTACCGTGGATGACGAACGTCGGGACCCCGTAACGACCGCGCCGGACCTGCGCGAGCGGACTGATGGCCGCGATGCGGTCCGCGTCGGGCCACCGCGTCCACGCTTCCTCGTCGCCGCTGGGCAGGCCGTTGAGCATCAGCGGCAGGCCGTTGCCTTCTTTGAACAGCGACAGGACGAGTTCGGACCGCGGGTCGCCGGGGCGGACCCAGCCGAGGCCGGTGGTGTCGGTGGAGCCGTCGCCGTCGTAGCCAGTAATCTGTAGGGAAGTAAACGCGGTCAGCAACTGTTGTTCGTACGTCTAGCAGCACCGTAGCAAAAAAAAGGGCCACCGCTCAGTCAGAGAAGAGGGGAAGAGGGGCTAGTCTGTATCCCGTACCGGTCTTGTTGGCAGCGCCGCCACAATATCTCGCATGCGCAAGCTCCTCTCCGGATACTCCTCCGCCCTCCGCCTATCCAAATCGCCCGACTCGAAATCCGTCGGCGCATAAAACGCCAGCACCGCACTCGGCGGCGCCACCCCCGCGTCGCCCGCCGTCCACGCCGTCGTCATCGCGAGGTGGCCGCCGGACGACCACCCGACGACGACGACCCTGTCCGCGTCGACGAGCACGCCGCGGCGGAGGGCGAGGCGGGGGAGGGCGGCCTTGACCCACTTGTAAGCGTCGAGCGTGTCGGTGATGGGTCCGTTGACGAGGTCGACTTCGGGGCAGAGGCGATAGTCGATGCTGATGGGCAGGACGCCGTTGGCGAGCAGGAAGGCCGTCTGGTGGGGTCGCACGGCTTTGCGGGACAGCGTCATGTGGCCGCCGCCGTGGATCATGAGGGCTGCGAGGAGGTTGTGGGTGTTAGCAACGCGGGAGGGCAGCAGTTCTGTAGGCTGTGCACGTTCAGGAGGATGACGCACCGACTCCCATGGCGCTCGCGGGCGGGTGAGGTGGCCAGAAGACGTCTGCGTGGATCTCGACGTCCTCGACGCGCTTGTACGTCACCGTCTCGCATTCTGGCCGCGGGAGAGCGCGTTGCGGCACTGCTGCGTCCATCAGCATGCTGCCGATCAGCAGCCGCTGCGTGTTGAGCTCCGCCGTGGGGCCCTGCGAATACGTCACGCTGGGGAAGCCGGCGCGTTTGAAGCAGCGGACCCAGGCCTCGGGCGGCTGTAGGGCATAGGCGCCGCTCTGGTCGAGCCACCAGCTGTCGAGCAGGCCGTAGACGATGTCGTACCAGTCGACGACGTCGGTGACTTCGGAGAGCACGACGAAGCCCGACGATGGGTGGAGGAGCTGCTTGAGCCGGCCGAGCGTCGCGCTGCGGTCTGCCGTGGCGTGGACGCAGTTGGTGCCGATGACGATGTCAAAGGGCCCGGCCGCGGCGAGGGCGGGCGGCGGCGCGTGTTCCATGTTCCACGTCTGGAAGTGCAGCCACGGGTACTGGTTGGCGAACGCCTTGAGAGCGCGGCTGACGAGCGTGGGCGAGATGTCAGTGAAGGTGTAGGATACGGGTCGGCCCAGCTTTGCGAGCGTTTGGACCAGTTTCCTGGTCGTCCCGCCGACTGTGTTACAGCGTCAGTGAGCGAACAAAGTAGTGACGGAATCCTCATGTAAACTTACAGCCTGCTCCAACCTCAAGAATCCTGACTGTGTTAGTGGCCTTGCTAGCAGAGACGGCATTGACGACTGTGTCAACCAGCATCTCGGTTGCGGTGGCCAGCATGGGGGAGTTGAGATAGAAGTCTTCCAGAATGGCCTGCGACTGTTGCGTCTTGAACAGCAGGCCAACCGGGTCCTGCTTCCCGACCAAACACTGTGCCAGCTGTGATCCCGTCACGTTCATCAACCTGAAGTCACAGCGGTACGCTGGGAAATCCTTCTGCAGTCGCGCCAGAAGCTCTGCCGAACCGCTCTTTGGACACTCGGCGCCTCCTCTCACGCGCTGCATCTCGTCTTTGGTCTCCACCAACCCGTGCTTCTCCAGAATGATCCACACGCGCTGCATGAGCCGGTCATACGCACGTTTCGACTTGTAACGCACGGCAGGCAGCATCTGACCCTTCTCCATCGATTTCAAATCGACACCGAGCTCCGCGAGCGCCTCAACCATGTACGCCAGCATGAGTGCATCCTGAGCGGGGGCGACCGCTGCATCGAAAGCCTCGAAGCCGCATTTTGCCGCCTTGGCGGGATAAGTGTTCTCACTGGCCACTAGAGCGTCGAACGGGCTGCCCAAGTCAGCTGGAACTGCCGCGACAGCAACACTCTCGTATGGGACCGAGATCGAAGTGGTTGACGTACTGACGGAGGAGGAGGAGGGAACAGAAGCGCTGACGGTGGCGCTGGCGGCGCCCACACCTCCGCAGCTCGCAATTGTCTCTGCGATAGAGAGGTCGAGCAGGCTGTCGTCCAGGTCGGCGTCGAATGCGTCTTCCAGCTCGCCCTTGAGCTCCACCGCCGCCAGCGAGTCGACACCGAGGTCGCGGAGCGTCTCATCGTCGCGCATGGACGAAACAGCAGCACCACATGCGTCCGATATGATTTGGAGAACGCGCTGACGGACCGTGTTATCCCCTACAGGCGCGGGAGCCGGCGCTACGGAAACCTGCACCGCGGCTTGCACCGCCGGCGCAGCCTGGAACGACGGGGGAGCCGCCACGCTGGCGGTTCCGATGCCCAAGTATCCGACAATCTCGGCGATGGTCGAGTCCAAATGGACCGCATTCTCGTCGACCTCGACCGCAAACGCCTCCTCGATCTCGCCCTTCAGCTCCACCGCTGCCAACGAGTCCACGCCCAGGTCGCGCAGCGTCTCGGTGTCCGCGATATCCGCAATCGGGGCGCCGCACGCATCCCCCACAATCTTCAGCAGGCGATCGCGCCCTGGGCCCCCACCACCAGCGCCACCACTCTGCACAGCCGTCGTCGACGCAAACACCTCCACCACGGGCGGCGGCTGCGGCAACGCCAGCTGCCTAGCCCCCCTGGCCTTGGTCTTCGGCTTCGGCGCCAGCGACAAGCACAAGCGAGACAAGGCGCCGAGGTCGCAGCCCAGCAGGTCGGGGGCGGCGATGTCCTTGCCGAACTGCTGGCTCAGGTCCTCGGCGAACTCGACGGCGGCGAGGGAGTCGACGCCCAGGTCGGCCATGGTGGAGTCCGCGGCGATGGCGTCGGCCGCGGCGCCCGTGTAGGCGGCGACGATCTTGCGGAGGCTGCTGTCGTCGAGCTCGCCGGGCGGGGTCGCGATCAGGTCTTCGCCGTCGTCGGAAGAGGAGGACGACGGGGAGGAGCTGTTGTTGGCTTCGAGCTGTGGGACGGCTTGGGCGCTTGGGACTGGCGGTGGCGGCGCGGTGGAGCGGGTGATGGATGGAGGGACGGCTTTCTTCGCGGCGGTGGGGCCGGTGCTGGTTGAGTTTGCCGTGTCGAGGAGCTTCTCGAGGGTGGTGATGGGCAGGCGGGTGAATTTGACGTCCATGATTGTCGCGGCAACTTCGCCTGCGGCTGTCAGGACGAAGACGTCGCCGGTGGCGGTGGTGTCGCCGGTCGATCTGAACGTGGCGTATACGGTCCATGCGGATTCGCCACGCAGAAAGTCGCACGCCTTGGATAGTGTGGCGCTCTCGACGCCCGTGGCCACGAAGACGTGGTTGGGGATGCAGGCATCGCTGCTGTTGATCAGCAGCCCAACGACCTGGATGAAGGTGTCGAGGGAGACGGTGTCGCAGGGCCCGATGGCCGAGCTCTCGTCGGGAGCAACGTGCGGGGTGGGGACTTGGATGCGGGCGATGGCGCGGGAGCCGTGCATGGTGATGGACTGAATGCCACGCAGCAGCGGTGCGTAGGTGACGACTTGGGAGAACAGGCCGTACGCGCGCTTCGACAGCAGTGTCTCGGCGTCTGGTGCCTTTGCCACGTCGGCGACACGCTCAGAGACCAGGTGCTGGTAGCCGTGCAGCTTGGGCTGCTTGCCCAGACGCACTTTGCCGCGGCCATGGGTGGAGACACGCTGCCTGGGGTCGGATTTGGCCACGCTGCGGAGCTGAAAGCTCCAGGCGCCGGCTTCGTCTTTGCCTTCCTGCAGCACGACCGTCACGTCGCGGCTCGTGTCGACGCCCAGCGGCTGTTCGAAGGTGAGGTCCTCGAAGCACAGGGCGCCCTCGAAACGAGGGCCCAGATGCTGCTGGAGCGCCATGACGGCGCACTCCATGTACATGGAGGCCGGGCACAGAGGACGGCCACGGACGGCGTGACCAGACACGATGTCGCGGAAGCGCGTGGAGCCGACGTTGACGGTGAAGTCCATGGAGCCAGGCTGTCCCCGGGGAGTCACCAGCAGCGGCTTTTCCACCACCACGGCAGCAGCAACAGCAGGTGGCGCCTCAGCTGCCTTTGCCTGGGCCAGCTCCAGCGCCTCGACAGCCCGGTCGACGTTCTTCACCCACGCTGACGACCGCACGAACTCGTACGGCGGCAGCCACACCTGCGACACGCCCGACTCGGACGGTCCACCCAGCCACGGCCAGAACGACACGTCCAGACCCTCCTGCCAGAGCGTGCGAGTGACGTCGGGCAGCACATTGGCCGGGTCTTTGGCGCCTGCGAAGCGCATGCTGAGGAAGACGTGGTCGTCTGGCCGTGCAACCGCACGCTTCACCATGGAAACGATGGGAGCGTCGGTGCCCGCCTCGAGCCAGACGCAGCGAGAGCCCAGGCGTGCCTCGACGCGGCGGACGGCATCGACGAAGTAGACGGGCTCGCGCGTGTGCTGGGCGATGCGGTGTGGGGCGGGACGCTGCTCAGCGCCGTCAGGGAGGCACATCTCCAGCGGAATCCGGGGCTCGGTGAAGGCGAGAGTGTCTGCCAGCGCCACCAGCTCGGGCAGAAGCGGCTCGGTGAAGCGGGAGTGGAAGCCGTGGGTGACGTCGACGCGTTGACTGCGCACGCCGGCGAAGTGAGGGTCTGTCGCGAGCAGCTCTTCTGCCCTGCTGACGGCCACCGCGGAGCCCACCACGACCTGGCTGGCAGGAGCGTTGTAGCACGCCACCTCGAGCTCCTTGTCGCCAACCGCATCCACGAGCTCCTGCACGACCTCGCGACCGGCGTGGACGGCGAGCATGGTGCCTCGTTCGTCGCCCCACGACGTCGCCATGAGCGCCGCACGCGCCGCCACGACCTTCAAGCCGCTCTGGAGGCTCAGCGCGCCAGAGACAGCCAGTGCCGTGAGCTCACCGAAGCTGTGTCCGATGACGGCGTCGACGCGGATGCCGGCGTCCTGCCAGCAGCGGGCAGTGGCGTACTGCACTGCGAAAGTGCCTGTCTGCAGCACCACGACGTCTTCAAGCGGCTCCGTGGCGAACAGGGAGGGAAGGACGCTGGGGTAGCCCATGGCGACAAGGAGTCCGTCGCACTTCTCGATGTAGGCACGGAGCCGCGGACTGCTGTCGTAGAGAGTGCGAGACAGCCCGATCGTCTGCTTGCTCTGCCCGCCGAACGCGAGCACCACGGGCCGTGGAGTGTCCTTGGCGGCTGCCACGTCTACGACGTTGCTCGTGGCACCGGGGCTCTTCAGGATCGCACGCAGGCCGGGCAGGTCGCCTGCCGTTGCTGAGAGCCTGTAGCGATGACGCTGACGCCGCTCTGCGAGGGTGAAGGCGACGTCTCCGAGAGACAGGTCTGGGTGCTTGGCCAGGTGGCGGTCCAGGGCATCGCAGTACAGCTCTAGAGACTGCGTGCTTGCCGCACTAATGACGACAGGCCAGACCTGGGTTGTTGTTTCGGTTGCGGTGCGCGGCAGCTCGACACAGAGAAGCGCCGCATTGCTCCCCGCTGCGCCGTAGCTGTTGACGCACGCGGCTCGCACGGGGGCGTCCCAGCGCTCTACCTGCTTGGCCACGGCCAGCTTGTCGGGGGCCAGGGCGGGTATCTTGGGGTTCAGTGTCCGGAAGCTGGCAAGCGGTGGAATGCGGCGCTGCTGCAGCATGGCCAGCACCTTCAGCAGGCTCGCCACGCCAGCCGCCGTCTCGCAGTGGCCGATGTTGCCCTTGAGCGAGCCGATATGCAGGCTGACCGACTGGCGGTCACCGGGCTGGCAGAAGACGTCGCGCACCGAGGCCATCTCCAGCGGATCGCCAGCCTGGGTTCCCGTGCCGTGGCACTCGACGTACGACACGTGCTCAGCCTTCATGCCCGCCTGCTTGAGGATGCGGCGGTACAGCGTCACCTGGGCGGCTGAGTGTGGCACCGTGATGGAGGGCGAGAGGCCGCCCTGATTGGTGGCCACGCCAGGAATGACGCCCAGCACGTCGTCGCCGTCGGCCAGGGCGTGGCGCAGCGACTTCAGCACCACGAGCCCTGCTCCGTCGGCGCGGCAGTAGCCGTCAGCGCCGACGTCAAACGGCTTGCACTGGCCGGTGGGAGAGAGGAAGCCGGCCTTGCCAAGGTCCATGAAGTTGTTGACGCCACTCATAACGTTGACGCCGCCAGCCAGAGCCATGGAGCACTCACCACCCGCGATGGCCCGGCACGCCCGGTGGATGGCCACCAGCGACGCCGAGCACGCCGTGTCGATGACCTCTGCCGGCCCGCTCCATCCAAAGTAGTAGCTGATGCGCCCGCAGAGGAAGGCCCGGATCGTGCCCGTCGACGTGTAGGCCGTGGGCGCGTGGGCAGACGTGTTGTCCAGGTACTCGTTGAACGAGGCCCCGATGAAGCAGCCCACGTCGTCGCCCGCCGCACGCTTGTGGGTGCGCAGGTAGCCGCTGGAGTCCATGGCCTGGTACGCGAGCTCGAGCAGGATGCGTTGTTGCGGGTCCATGTACGCCGCCTCCTTCGGGTTGGTGCGGAAAAAGGCGTGGTCGAAGCCGTCGACGTCGTCGACAAAGTTGCCAAAGAAGGTGCGCTTGCTCGTGAATTTGTGGTCCTGCGAAGCCCGAAAGCTGGCGTGCAGCGGGATGCGGTCCGGCCGGATCTCCTCGGCTTTGGATGTGCCGGCTGCCATCAGCTCCCAGAGCTCTTCCAGGCTGCTGGCCCCAGGCAGGCGGCAGGCGGCGCCCACGATGGCAATGGCATCCTCCGGGAGCTTGTAGTCCTTGAGCTCGGCCTCGCGGATGGTGCGGTGCACGTCGATCTTGGAGATCTTGAGAGCCGCTTGGTGGAATGGCGTCAGGGGGACGCAGTCGCCGATGCCAAACATGGCAAAGGTATGGGCCTGCACCCCTGTGGCTTTCAGTGCCTGGGCCAGCTCGTTGAGAAGCGTCCACCACTCGCAGCGCGACGCCAGGATGGTCCGAACCGCCTCGTGCGTGAGAGAGCAGTCCCGCAGCAGCCGCCCGGTGATGTTGGAGTAGACGGGCGCCTGCAGCTGGCTGCACGCGGGCAGCGTGAGGCTCTCGAACTCGTCACACAGTTCGCAAAGCTCCTTGGCCAGCTCTGCATTCTCCGGATTGTGCACCTTTCCTCGCAAGTGCATGCCCTGAACCAGCAGGCCACGCTCGCGGGCATGGGCCGACACCTTTTCGAGAGTCGGGACCGGCCCTACTATGCTGATGGTCTTGGGGTCCGTCACTGCAGACACATATGCCTGCCAAAACACAAGTCAGTCGGCAGCTCGCGTGTCCGTGGTCTGCGTGCGGTGCTTTACTCACCCCCGGGAAGCCTCTCACAATATCCTCGCCTTGCCCTTCGTGCCGCAGCCGCACGACGATGGTCGTCGGGCCGGGCAGATTCTCGTCGTCTCCGAGCTCGCCGTACGCCCCCACGGCGAGAGCAATCCGCATTGCCACGGCAGCCATGTCGACGACCTCATCCTCGTCCTTGGCGCACGCCACGGCGATGGCCGGCAGCAAGCCTCCGCAATACCCCTGCGCCCCGCCAACCTTGAGGCCGTCGAGGAACTCGGCATGCGTCAAGCCCGCCAGCCGCAGGTACTGGAAGTACTGGCACGTCTGGATGACGACCAGCAGCGGCAGCGACAGGATGCCAGACATGGCGTTGGCAACTGGTGCCGACGCGCCAGTTTCGACCCAGTCGTGCAGGGCCTGCAGGTAGCGCGGGCCTTGGGCGAGGCCGGCGATGTCGGCCCTGCGGGCGGCCATGATGTCCCATGTCTCGCGTAGACGCTTGACGTCTTCGCCCAGCCGCCGGAGCTGCTCGTGCTCGGTGAGGAACTTTTGCAGTTGGTCGAGGTATTCTTTCGTCGGGGCTTTGCTCTGCGGGCAGAAGATTGCCACCGAGGACTTTTGGCGGAATTTCGAAGGAGCCATGTTGATGAAAGATGCGCACCAGAATGTTGAATGGTCCGCTGGAGTTGAGTCTCCTGCGGTTGCCGGGTGTTATAAGCCCGCGTGGGGGTAGGGACACGAGTCGTTGTTTGCCTTTCTGGCCATACAGGCCGATAAGGGCCATTCGGACATTGTTTCGGGCCTGCTTGAGACCGATTACTCGGGCTGGAGGCGCAGAACACATCCCAATTGTGTTGCGGGCGTGTGGTTCCCGCGCTCAAGGATTTGATGGACGTCTGTAAAGCTTGATGAGGTACACAGCGGTCTTACCACATCACAATGCCGAGCTTATCCTAAGTGTTGACACCGGGCCGGTGGTGAGTCGGGAATTTCGCACCGTGTGGCTTGGACCTTTCACGACCTGTGATCGGCTACTTAAATAACACCGGCTGTAGGCTACCAGATAGGTCAATAAAAGAGGCTCAAAGGCCCAAACCGTCTTTCTTCTCCGTTACGATCGTGCAGCTACCATGGACGTTGCAGTTTTTTCGAGCTTGGGGCAGACACTGGCCACTGGTGCAGTGTTGGCCGTGGCAGTAAGCATTTCTCGCGGCAGGTATGCTCCACAAATCCCGGCTAATGGTGTCCACGATAGTACTACGTCTTGTCCGCCATCTACTGCCTCTACTTCCACCCGCTCTCCAAATTCCCGGGGCCCCGAACAGCAGCCTTCTCGCGGCTCCCATTCGCGATTTCGGCAGCACGAGGGTCGCAGTACAAATGGCTCGACAGCCTGCACGAGCAGTACGGGCCTGTGGTGCGCATCGCGCCCAACGAGCTGACGACCATCTCGTCCGGAGCGTGGAAGGACTTGTACCTGCAGCGCCCGCAGCTGCCCAAGGACCCGCACCCGCAGACGCCGCCGCTGAATGGAGCAGACTCGCTCTTCACGGCTGAAGGCTCGACGCACCAGCGGATGCGCAAGACGCTGCTGGGGGCGTTCAACGACCGGGCGCTGCGGGCGCAGTCGTCCATCATCGAGATGTACGCAGACCTGTTCGTGCAGCGGCTGCGGCGCGAGGCAGCCAAGAGCAGCGACGGGGTGATTGACCTGGCCAAGTTCTACGGGTACGCAGCGCTGGACATCATCTCGGACCTGGCGTACGGCGAGAGCTTCCACGGGCTGGAGGGCGACAACGAGCACGGGTGGATCATGGGCTTCTTCCTGGGGGCCAAGTTCGGGGCGGTGCGCAACAACCTCAGCTACTTCTACCCGCTAGACCGCGTCTTCGGCTTCGTGTTCCTGCGGCTCACGGCGGGGGTGCGGGCGCGCAACTGGGCGTACACGGCCGGACTGGTGACGAAGCGGCTGGAGATGGGCGACCTGGGGGTGACGCGGTCAGACTTCGTGTCGCCCGTCATCGGCAACATCAGCAGCGACTCGAAGCAGCAGAAGGGCGGCATCACGCGTGACGAGCTCAACACGCACTCGCTGGCCGTCACCATCGCGGGTTCGCAATTGCCGACGGTGGCGCTGGCGACGGCGACGTATCTGCTGCTGCGCCACCCTGACAAGCTGCAGGCGCTGCGGGACGAGATCCGGTCGTCGTTCGAGGCCGAATCCGACATCAGCGTCGCGTCGACAGCCGGGCTGCCGTATCTCCAGGCGGTGATTGATGAAACACTGCGGATCCACCACCCGACGCCCATCGCTCTGCCGCGCATAATCCCGGCGACCGGGCTGCAGGTCGACGGCCAATGGATCCCTGGCAACGTAAGTCCCTCATCTGGCCACGGTTGGTGGGTCGGGGTGCTGACTAGAGAGGCAGACGGTCATGGGCATTGCGATGCAGACCGCGCAGACGTCGAGGCGCAACTGGACGGCGCCACGCGAGTTTCATCCTGAACGGCACCTTCCGGCAGGCCACCCGCTGCGCGACTCACGCTTCGACCAGGACGACCGCGAGGCCTTCAAGCCGTTTTCCATCGGGACGCGCAACTGCCTGGGCGGCAAGTAAGTCACTCCCATTTGCCCCCCCCTCCCCCCCCCTTCCACAGCCCCCGCATGCTGACACGGGCTCCCCAGAGTGTTCCTTGGCGAGGCCAGAGTGCTGCTGGCGCGCACCTTCTGGAGCTTCGAGCTGGAGCTGGCGGCCGACACGCCCGCCGATTGGATGGACCAGAAAGCCTATCTTGTTTTTGAACCGAAGCCGGTTCGCGTTAGACTATCCGAGAAGGCGTTGCATGGTTAGGCGGCGTGACGGCCCGTAAAGCTTGACTCGGACGGAGCTCGTAACGGCGACGAAGGGATTGGATTGTCTTGATACCTACTCGCACTTCCATCCTAAAGAAGAAAAGTCGTTCAAACTGGCATCTACGTACGTCCGTATGGCTGGGGAAGCGATAACGTACCACCCTCGAAATCTTAACGTACCACCCCCCCCTACTTAGTAGCGATTAGTGTAGCACGTTCGATAATAACGAATATAATAATAATACTTACTACTATAATTATAGTGTTTTAAACGCATATACTAAGCTATAAATTCTTCTACTTTACTTCGGTGCGACCGAAGGTGCAGTCCTTATAACTTACGATAGTTATTAAATAACGCAACCCGTAAGCCTCTAGTAATAATACTTCGTTTATATCGACTAGTATATCTAACTACGTTCCTAACGAAGCTATATACTATATTATACGTATTAGACGAGAACTATCTAGATAGAGATATATACGTATCTCGGGTATATACGCCGTCCGCTAATTACTACTACCGCCCGATCCGCTCGGTTTTAACGAACGCGAAGACGCGCCTCCTACCTATACTATTATAGAGATTATCGATCTTAGATTTACTAGCGAGTCTAATAATAGGCGCTAGCTCGTTAATAACGAAGCTAGTATTACCGGTAATAATATCTTCGCTAGAAACGAGAGGGGGTTTAGATCTAAGTCTAAAAAGAATATTATAGCCCTTAGTAAAATCGAAGAGAACTCTAATACCGCTATTAAGAATACTAGAGTTCTACTCTAGCTTCTTTATCCTTTATTTATAATAGACGAGGGCGAATAGATCTTTATTATTAAGCTTCTACTAATAGAGACGTTTAAGTCCTTCGCTAATAGCGAAAGGGCTTATTATAACTAGAGCCTTACGTATAGTATAGACTTTCGTAAGCGTAAGTAGAAGAAGATAAATAGAGCCGTCTATTAAATACGTATTATTTATAATCGTAAGGGGCGAAAGAATAGCATCCGTAATAACTTTAACCTAGACGATAACGATTATCTAGACGAATACTATTCGTCTAGGCCGAATTAGCTAAATAGTCGTCGTCCTAGAAGAGGTTCTATCTATATAAATTATAAGATAGGCTTTCTCTTCGTTACTACCGACCGTAATAACGTTAATAGCGAATAGAAGATTCGTTATTAATAAGAAAACCTAAGCTTCTATTATAATTATCCGTCTAGTATTAATAGCCGTATCTTCGCCTCTTAGCGTCGTTAGTAACGAGCCGAGATGCTATAGCTTATCGAGCTTATTTAAGAGTAGTAGCTTAGTAGTATTCGAGCGAACTAGTCTCTTACGTTTATTATAAATAGATATTCTACTACGCTCGTAACGTAATAGAATATCTATAACCTTCGGTAGGCTAATCGCCTTTAGAAGCTTATATACGAGAATATAGTAAATATACTACTCTCTCGTCTTTAACGAAAGAACTTTACCTTCTACTTTATCGTTAATAATAAGTATTAACTAGATTTCCTACTTACGCTTCCTTCTAAGACGATTAAGCTCTAACGTACTAATTTAGATATTCTACTTATTAATCTTACGTTTAAGACGAATAGATATAACCGGCTATTACTAAATATAGTTAGTATAATAGTAAATAACCGAATAATCCCGCTTAGTATTAGCCTTCTTTCGTCTTAAATAGAGGAGGTATATTACTAGACGCTCTTAAGCCTCTATAAAATCCTCGTTAAAAACGAAGTACTACTTCTAAGAGTTATCCTAATAGACCGTAATATTAGTTATATTAATATAGTAAAGCGTAGCTTTACGGGCATTTTAATTATTCTTTACTACTAGTATATTAATAAGAATATTCTTACCTATATATAAGAGAGGCATCCTTAATCCTAGTAAGATACGGAGTAGATAGATTTAGCGAGGGCGAAAGAGATTATAGATCGTTTCTCTATATACTATAACGCCTAGACCGAAGAGGAGTTTACTTCGATCGTAGCGAGTATAGAGAGACTTAATACTCGTATTTCTAACTATCTAGAGGCGGAGTAGTAGCCGTAGAAGAAGATATTTATTTCGGTATAGACGAAGGCTATAAGAATCTATAGCCGCGTCTCGTATACGCTTCGTATACGAGACCTATAGAAGTTACGTACTAGTTACGTAACTCTCGCTTAGCTATATATAAAAGCCCTTTAGCCTACGGGCGAAGGCCGAATTTCTTAAAAATTCGTTTATTAATTATAAGCTCTCTTCTTATATCTATCTTAAGCTTTCTATTCGTATCTTATATCTTATATTCGAATCCTTCTCTTTAAATAGCCGGTTTAGGATACCTTCTAAGCGGATTTCTCTTCCCGTACGCGACGCGTATACGTCGCGTACTAAAAACGCTATAGTCGTATAAGACCCCTTAACCGGGTTAGACTATCTAACCTCTAGCGAATTAAACGATAACGCCGACGAGATACCCCTAATATCTACTACTATAAAAGAACCCCCCTCTATAATAATTACGCCCGAAGACGTTATTACGAACCTAAAGACTAAGATCTATAGACTCTCTATAGTAATCCCGACCTCCTCGGCTTAAATTATCGAATTAAACGCTTTAATTAAGGGTCTATAGAAACGTATTAATATACTCTCTTAGCTAAGCGTATCTAAAACGTATACTTCTCGTATATATCTCGACTTCGAAGCGCGAAAGGCGATCTAGCGAGAAAAGAACGTTTCTAAACTATAAACCGCGATCTAGTACTATTTCGATAAGTAGATTAACGAGTTAAATAATAAGTTTAATATACTTAATCTATAAGACTAGAATATCGAGAAGCGGACCCGCTAGGCCCTCTAGAGCCTCGCGAAGTACGAAGTAATTACCTAATACGTCTACTAACGCCTAGATAAATCCGTAACCCGAAGAGAGCTTCTCTTCGAAAAGTTTAAAGTAATCGTTTAAGATTAAGTAAGAAACCCTACCTTACGGCGGTACGAGAATACGATTATATTCTACCGCTCTCTAATAAAGCCTAGTATATTATATTAGAAGTACCGCGCCCGTATAGAAAGCCTATATAAATAGCTTCTATACGCGGTAGCCGATAAGGACCTTCTTATTAACCTCTTCTTTACGAATCTTCTAGAGGTCTATCGTAAAGAACTTCTTAAATACCCTACGATAAAGACTATCCGGGGGGTTAAGAAACTCTACGACTTAATTATTAGCCTTAAGTAGACGCTCGGCTTAGTTAAGATAGCGTAGACGGAGAAATAATAGCGCTAGAGCGTAGACTATAAACGCCCGCGTCCGGCCTACTCTACCGATAGTAGGCGAGGTCGGTCGAGGAACTCGAGCCGATATAAGCCGCCTCGCTAAGAAGACTTCTAGAAGTCGACTTATAGATAAGGCGTAGGCGCTTCGTATATAAAGCGTAACTCGGGCTTTCGCTAATTTAATAAAAACCCGGCTAGTAACTAACTCCCTTCTAGAGCTAATAGCTCGAAGAATAATAAGACCTTAGAAAAAGAATAGTCCTAGTAGCGGCCTTAAGCCGCCTATCTCTAGGACTAGTCGACCGAGGCTTAACTAGACGGATCGTTATAAACGTCCTTCTAGAGTCGCCGAAAGGGCTAATAGCCTTAAAGGCCCTCTTAGATTCGGAAAGCGATATAAACCTTATTAGATAAGATCTAGTAAATATTTATCGCGTACTCTCCTCGTACGTTAAGCGTACGCTCCGCGTATAGTTCTTAAATAGCTACTCTATAACTATATAGAACTTCTATAAACTTACCCTTCGGGCTAAAGACGGGATAGACGTTAAGCGAACTATTAGACCGCGCCTATTCTAGAGCGCGTTCTTCGAGGATTACGATCTAATCCTCGGCCTAGACTAGCTAAAAGCGGCCGATCTTATCGCCTACTTTAATACGAATACCCTTAAATAGAGTAATCTATACTAAGACTATATCGAGCTTATCTCTACGATATAATTCGCTAGCTAACTAGCCTTAGACGATCCCGTCTACTAAATTAATCTAGAAGGTAAGGTTTCTAGTTAGAACTAGCCCCTACTAATATAGAAAAACGGAGATCGTAATTCTACGTACTATCCGCGACGCACTAGCGCCGCGTATACGTAATATATATACTTCGTATTAAAAGCGTAGAATAATTCTATTCTTATAGCTATAACGGTTACCGCGCTATAAGAAGGACTTTTAAGTTAATACTAAGACTTTACGGATATCGTATCGAACGAACTAGCCGGTAAGCTAGCCTAGAACTCTAAATACGACTATACGATCGATCTAGAGAACGGTAAGTCGCCGCTCTAGATATCTATCTATAACCTCTCGCTAAGAGAGCTATAGATTCTACGAGAATACCTCGATAAGGCTCTTAAGAAGGACTAGATTCGGCCTAGTAAGTCTTCTACTAGCGCGCTAATCCTCTTCGTCCCTAAGCCTAATAGAACTATACGATTATATATCGATTATCGGGAGCTAAATTAGATTACGATTAAGAATCGACACCCGCTTCTCCTTATTAGCGAACTATTAAACCGTATATCTTACGCGAAGATCTTTACGAAGCTAGACTTACGTAACGCCTATTATAGGCTCTATATTCGTAAGGGCGACGAGTAGAAGACGGCCTTTAAGATAAGATACGGCCTATTTAAGTACCTCGTTATACCCTTTAATCTAGCTAACGCGCTAGCTACGTTCTAGAGCTATATTAATAAAGCTCTCGAAAGCCTCGTAGATACTATCTACGTCGTATATCTAAATAATATCTTAATCTACTCTCGAAACGAGAAAGATTACGTCTAATACGTTCGGTAGATACTCTAGCGCCTCTAGAACTAAAGCTTATATATTAAGGTATTAAAGTATACCTTCTATATAATCTACGCGGAGTTTCTAGAGTTTATTATAACGCCTAACGGCGTCGTAATAGATCCTAAACGCGTAAAGGCTAT